GACGTGTGGGTGCAGGGGAAGGGACTTGAACTTTCCTTTGGGTGGGGAAAACCTGGAAGCTTTCAGATTTGGGTTTTCCCAGGTGTGCCAATATAACATCTCTAATAAAATGGGACTTTGGGGAAACTCAAGCCTCGGAGTTTTCTTGCGTTGGGGGTGTTACTTGGAACCCTGCCATAGTCTGCATCTGGATAGTGGGCATTGCAAGAGGCTCAGAAGAAACCCTGCCTAGCTTCTTGAGCTGTAAAGGAGACGGCAGGAGAATTGTACATTCTAGTGTTGCAAGTTTTATATCAGCCTTTCCAGGTAAATCAGACAGGAAATATGACCAGATAAGATAATTCAACTTTATTAGAGAAGTACATTGATAGAATATTGAAAGTCTGAAATGTCAATCCTACCTCCAGCTTCTTTACAGCTTGAGAAACTAGGAAAGATCCATTCTGAGCAGATTGCCCCACTCACTATTCAGCTGTGGGTTAGGCTATCTCTTATCTTCCCATTCCCTAGGCCAGGGGTGTCAAACTCAAGGCCCAGAGGCCAGACCCGGCCCGCAGGGTACTTAGATCTGGCCCACAGGCCACCCTGAAAACAGTGAAGAACGCCCCGCGGTGCCTCTGCCAGTGAAAATGGAGCTTGCAAGGGCTCTGTTTTCGCTGGCAGAGGGTTACAGGAGACCGTCGCAACTGAAAACAGCTTGAGAGGACCGCAGAGTGAGGTTGCAGGAAGCTGTTGCAGGCGAAAACGGAGGTTGGGAGTCCATTTTCACTGGCAGAGTGCTCGGGCCGCCATAGGTGCCCCCGACATGAGTGATGTTGAACTGGCTATGCCTACTCTGGCCATGCCCACCCCAACCCCCCAAGGTCAAACACAACCCTGATGCGGCTCTCAATGAAATCGAGTTTGACACCCCTGCCCTAGGCTGAAAAACTAACTGGTCCTTGCACTTAGGGATTGTCACATGACTGAGTTGGTGGTTCTGAACTAATGAGTATTTCTGTACAGCAGTCACATAATTGCCATTTGTGCATATCACAACTAGCTACTGACAAGTAGAGTCAATGGAGAAGCCAACAGTAAAATAGCAAGTTGCAGTCATGTGATACCTTGCTTAATGCCTGTGAATGGTTTGCTTAACAACCATGGTGGAAATGAAGGCATGTCCATCACAGTCATGTGATGCTGTCTTGCTTAATGACCATATCACCTAGTGATGGAGTTGCCAGTGCCAACTATGGCCATTAAATGAGCACTGCCTGTAAGTTTACATTAATAACATTACATTTTTTAAAAATCTTTTGGGGCAACATGGAACTGTCTGCGTTTTGTACAAAAGTCCCAGAGAATTTGAAAACTGCTGTCATTTATATCTTCTTTTCTCTTAAATATCCTTGTCTTTTTCATTTGCTCTTCATGGGACTTGTTTATTTTTTTCCATTCTGTGGAAGTTTATTTCTTTTTTAAAATGCAGAGGCCAAAACTAGAAACAATACCTTAGATGCATTCTAATGCACAGCAGAGCAAAACAGGTACTTCTAATAGGCTTAAAACAGTATTTCTTCTTCTCTATTTTCTTCCGTTTGCAAGTTGAGAAAAATAATAAATCCACACAAGATATCCCTCTCATGCTAGTTAAAAGTAATTTCAGACATATATTCATGTCTTGTCATAAATTATTCATATTTAGGTTTACAGTATTTACTCAACAATAATGATGAAATGGGAACTCAGAGATAAATACAGAAGTACAGTATATCCACCCCAGACTTCTGAGTTGTTCTTCCAACTGTGACATTCAGTGATAAAATATTTTTCATATATAGAAAAAGTGATGCTCCTCAGACCATTGCATTGTTGCTTTGTTTGCTTTAGTTGCTTGTTTGCAGTCATGTACAGTATCGGTTAGGTTCTTGGCAACCAATTCATTGAAAGTAATTCTCCCAAGCAAGATTCTCAGAATCTTCTTTAGTAGACTAGAATTGAGATGAGTAGAGTAGAGTAGAGTAGAGTAGGAGTAGGAGTAGGAGTAGGAGTAGGAATAGGAATAGGAATAGGAATAGGAATAGGAACAGAAAAGAACAGAATAACAGAGTTGGAAGGGACCTTGGAGGTCTTCTAGTCTAACTCCCTGCTTAGGCAGGAAACCCTACACCATTTCAGACAAATGGTTATCCAACAACTTCTTTAAAACTTCCAGTGTTGGAGCATTCACAACTTCTGGAGGCAAGTTGTTCCACTGATTAATTGTTCTAACTGTCAGGAAATTTCTCCTTAGTTCTAAGTTGCTTCTCTCCTTGATTAGTTTCCACCCATTGCTTCTTATCCTGCCCTCAGGTGCTTTGGAGAATAGCTTGACTCCCTCTTCTTTGTGGCAGCCCCTGAGATATTGGAAGACTGCTATCATGTCTCCCCTAGTCCTTCTTTTCATTAAACTTAGACATACCCAGTTCCTGCAACCATTCTTCATATGAAAGGATGGAATTACAAGAATTTCAGGAATGGAATTGTTTCTAGTATAGAACCTAGTTATCCCTCAATAATTAGGTTAGGAATTTTTTCCCCCAATATCTAATCAATTTCTAAAGAGTGGGGTTTTTTTCCTCATAAAAGAGGACCTTGCAGATGGTTGATTACAAAACCCTTAGAAGAATATGAGCCAAGCATTACAGTGACTCATTTCATTGACCTCCAGTTAATTTCCAAATCATTAGTATGTAATTCAAAAGAATATGATCAACTACAAATTCTATAAATCTTTCTAGAACAAAATTAATATATAAAACAACTTCTTTTCAGAAGGGAAAATAGTATATCATACTTCTAGATCATATGAACCAGAATTGAATTTTGGACATTTCCTATTCAGCAGTTTATTTGAACTTGGTAGTTTCCTCCTTATAAGGTATTTCAACAGATATGCAATAATATTTTGGTCAACTAGTTGCAATTTTAGATCTACAGAAATATATTTTACGTATTTATATAATTATATTGATAATTGGGAGTGTGATGGTTCAGTGGTTAAAGACAGTGAGCTTATCAGCTGGAAAGCTGACAGCTGGGGTTCGAGATTTGAATGCTACGCAATTGAACTCTCGTTACTTGCCCCAGCAAGTAACCTAGCATTCGAAAGCATGCAAATGTGAGTAGATAAATAGGTACCACTTCAGTGAGAAGGTAACAGCATTTCATGTGCCTCAGTGTATAGTCATGCTGGCCACATGACCACAGAAATGTCTTCAGACAATGCTGGCTCCCTACAGTATAAGCACTGCCCCCTAGAGTCAGCTATAATTGGACAGGGGAAACTTTTACCTTTATATTGATGATCATATTTTAATCTCCAAATTGCTCCAATCCTGACTAACTCTCTGTGTGGAGGCAACAAGACAAGACATACAATATAAAGAAAGATAAATCTTAATTTTTAAGTCTTAGCCCACCCCGATCAGGGTACCAAATGCAATTAAGGGATGAAGTCATGTTTGAATAAATTAAACTTGATTGCAAAGAATAGGCAAGATTGTGGCCCTTTAAGTGGGAAGATTCATCCATCCATCCATCTCACTCTTAAAAGTGTTCTCAGCTATAACTGTGAAGCAGGGGTGAAATCTAAAAATTTTCCCTACCGGTTCTGTGGGTGTGGCTTAATTGGTGGGCATGGCTTGGTGGTCAGGTGACCCAATGGGCATGGCTTGGTGGTCAGGTGACCGGGTGGGCGTGGCCAATAATAATAAATAATAAAAATAATAAACAAAGTACACAAAACAATAAGAGGTACCAAAAACCAACTTTTATACTTTACACACACACAACACAACACAACACAACTGACTCACACACAATGTAAAAGCAGCTGCACTTCACCCCAAATGGCCCCTGCAACAAGCAGGAACCTCACACAGCCACAAATAAAATAAAATAAAATAAAATAAAATAAAATAATAAAATAAAATATTTGTGCAGCTTTCTGAGATTTGGTGTGTTTCTGTAGTGTTTCATTCTAATTATACAAACACATAAAATCTCACAAAGCTGTATGTGGCATTTTGTGTGGAAAAAGTGTGGAAGCTCAAAAACCAACTTCCACACTTTTTCCACACAAAATGCCACATACAGCTTTGTAAGATGTTGTGTGTTTGTGTAGTTAGAATGAAACACTATAGAAACACACCAAATCTCAGAAAGCTGCATAAATTTATTTTATTTTATTTTATTTTATTTTATTTTATTTTATTTTATTTTATTTTATTTTATTTTATTTTATTTTATTTTATTTTATTTTATTTTATTTTATTTTATTTTATTTTATTTTATTTTATTTTATTTTATTTTATTTTATTTTTAGATAAAAGCAGCTAAATTTAAAACTTCCTTAACTTTAAATTGCTATCTAAAAAAAAAATAAAACTCCTAAAAAAAACCCAATTAACTATTTTTTTAAAGCTCCCCAAAAAAACAACAACCCCCAGGTACTTACCAAATTGAAGGCACAAGGCAGGCAGGCAGGCAGATTGAGTTACTCACCGATTGGATTGATTGCAGGCAGGCAGATTGAGTTGCTGGCTGATGCAATGGATTGCAGCAGCTGAAGCAAGGCAGGAAAAGCAAGCGAGCCCGAAAGAAGCAGCAAGCTGTGATTGGGTGGGCATGGGCGGGAGGCCCAGGGATTTTTGCTACTGGTTCTCCGAACTACCCGCCACCAACACTACCGGATCGTGATGGGCAGATTCGATTCTGGAAAGGTGTTGCCTAATACACTCTAACGCTGCACCATTTTGTAAGTAACTAAAATGGAATTCCATTGACAGTTGTATAGTAGATATTACAATTGCTTATTCCATTCCTTGGGAACATCTAATTTAGTGTATTGAACATCCTAGTGTGCTCTTAACGTATGTTATAAATTGTTACGATTAGCTAAAATAAAATATAATTTTAGCTTTTCATTTAAAAAAAAAAAAGCTCTTCGTTCCTTTCTATATTTTTATGCCAAACAGGAAGTCGTTATTGGAGATCTGAAGCCAGGGACCCTCCATAGGGTCAGCATAGGAGCTTATGGCTGGGCAGGAAGAGGCAAAGCCAGCATGCCTAGAAATGTGACAACTCTATCACAAGGTAAATATCATTTTAATAGCTTTCTATTAAGTGTGCTGGTTGAGACAGAATTAACTGTAGACACTGTAAGCGTATTTCAGAAAGGTACATGGGACGTCAGGAAAACTTCAGTACAGTGCAGAAATAGCAATAGCACTTAGACTTTATACCACTTCATAGTGCTTTTACAGCCCTCTCTAAGTGGTTTACAGAGTCAGCGTCTTGCCCCCAACAATCTGGGTCCTCATTTTACCCACCTTGGAAGGATGGAAGCTGAGTCAGCCTTGAGCCCCTGAGATTTGAACTGTCGAACTGCAGCTAACAATCAGGTGAATCTTGCGTAGCTTCTTCTTCTCTGGTAATGTTGTACTACTAACTAGAGCATACAAAACATTTGCTAGACCAATTCTTGAATACAACTCATCTGCATATCGGACATAAATACAATTGAGAGAGTCCAGAGATATTTTACGAGAAGAGTCCTCCATTCCTGTAACCACAATAAAATACCTTATGCCACCAAATTGTGGGCTTAGACAATTTAGAACTAGCCAACTTCAGTCTGACCTAAGCATAGTACATAAAATTATCTGCGACAATGTCCTTCCTGTCAATGACTACTTCAGCTTCAACCACAACAATACATGAGCAAACAATAGATACAAACTCAAGGTAAACCGCTCCAAACTCAATTGCAGAAAATACGACTTCAGTAACAGAGTGGTCAATGCCTGGAATGCACTACCTGACTCTGTAGTTTCTTCCCCAAACCCCCAAAACTTTAACCTTAAACTGTCTACTGTTGACCTCACCCCATTCCTAAGAGGTCTGTAAGGGGCATGCATAAGTGCACCAGCGTGCCTACCGTCTCTGTCCTAATATTTCTTTTTACTTACTCTTTTCATGTATTCAAATTACGTTTATACTTTTACCTGTTATCTTATATATGCTTGACAAAATAAACTTATGATTATGATTAAGTAGCCTGCAGTGCTGCACTCTAACCACTGCGCCACCTCGGCTCTGTAGGAATGAGTTATGGGAATTTCGAAGGAGTCTCTGGTCAGGAGACAGGATGCGATTACAATTGCAAAAAGAATGGTGAGGATTATTAAGGAGTCAAAGGAATACATTTCTTATGGTATAATTTAATATGCTTTATTGGTGCCCGTATGGATCTTTTCAAAACTCTTCACAAGGGCATTTGGAAATTAATTTAATTTAAAACATGGCATCTTCTGGGCCATAACTATATCAATTTATTCAGAGCAACACTTTCATCTTTTAAGTGTTTCCCTCTATGAAAGGGGAAAAAATGGTGGGATTTTCTATATCGAATAGCAGCAACTCTCCTGAGATTGAAACAAGGATGGGTAGAAAGTCCACTTTTTGATTAACTTTAGCATTACAATTTTACCAAAGGTTTTGCTCCTGCAAGCAATTCTGAGTTTCCCAAAGTGTCCAATAATGTATATAATTTCTTTTCTCTTAGATAAATGTATGCCGCCAGCTCCACCTAGTCAGCCTCAAGTCATTGTTGTTTCAGATTCAGAAGTTGCTTTATCATGGAAACCAGGACCAAGTGAAGGAAGTTCTCCAATTGAGTACTACACAGTGGAATTTATCAGGTGATCTTGACTATGGTATTTGTACGTGAGCACTTTTTCCATATATGTGGGTTCACATTTGTTTCAATCTGATGTCAATCATGTAATGAAATTGGTTCTTATTTATTCATTAGTTTAAATGGCTTTGATTCAGCACAGCTTCAGAGTTTCTTTTGGGTTTTGGACTAACTCAGTTTTGCTTCTTCTTTGTGGTTTATGAAACACACATATGATACACACTGGACCTCCACAGTAGCTCATGCAGAGATCTCCAAAGCTCCACCCTTAGAGTTACAATGCAATATGGAAAGATGGGCTTCTATTTAATCCTAACTCATTTCTGAACCGTCTCTTGACTGTTACCGTACTATAGAATTCCCCCTCCCCCTTCTACTTTATTTATTTATTTAAATTTGTTGACAGCCCAACTCTATGGATTCCACTTAAAGATGGATCAGTTGGTTATATAGAAAATTTCCATGTAAACTCATATTCGTATTTTATTTAACAATAAAATAAATACAAATACAAATAATAACTATTTGTATTTATTTAACAATTTATTGTTAAATTGCCTTGTTCCACTGATGGAATGTTTTCTGTAACACTGGTGGATGAGATCTTTTGTCTTGAGCAAATTTCAGTTTTCTGATTATTGTAGGAATGCCTGTTTTAATACCAGTGTCAGCCATTCAGTCCCATTCCTTCTTTAAAAGGTAAAGGTAAAGGTTCCCCTTGCACATATGTGCTAGTCGTTCCTGACTCTAGGGGGCAGTGCTCATCTCCATTTCAAAGCCGAAGAGCCAGCGCTGTCCGAAAGCATCTCCGTGGTCATGTGGCCGGCATGACTAAACACCAAAGGTGCACGGAACGCTGATATCTTCCCACCAAAGGTGGTCCCTATTTTTCTATTTGCATTTTTTATGTGCTTTCAAATGGTTAGGTTGGCAGAAGCTGGGACAAGTAACGGGAGCTCACCCCATTACGCGGCACTAGGGATTCGAACCGCTGAACTGCGGACCTTTCGATTGACAAGCTCGACAATTTTTTATCCACTGAGCCACCATGTCCCTTTTTTATTTTTTATTTTTTTTAAAATATATAAAATATTTTTATTTTATATTTTATTCCTTCTTTAGTGGCAATTAATATTTTAAAAAGTATAAAATGCAGGCAGATTTTTTAAATTTTAATTAGGAATGCCTGGTTTCATCCAATTATTTTAATAAAATGTATTTATGTATAGATTTATTAAACAAAAATATTAGTGACATAAGTTACTTCATTATGTTTGTTGGGGAAAGTTGGTGTGGTTATATGGTCTTCTATATAAGACTTATGTTCTGTGCTGTTCAGATGGCTATATATTCTGCAGGTGAATTTAACTGAGTGGTTTTCAGGTTTTTTTATTTGTGTAACCCCATTCTGAAACTTGCCTTTTCCCATAACACAAGAAGGTAGTATGATTTGGTTCTGAATTTTCGTTAGACTGTAAGCATTATGCACTGTGATTATTAGGCAAATCAATGGTTCACCTTGGGCATGGTTTTGCTGAAAACCCGAAGTATCAGGTTTTAGCAAAACCATCGTAAAACATGGTCATGTGACCATGGGGTGTTGCAAAAGGCCATAAATGTGGCCATGTTATCAAGCATCTGAAGTTCGAGAGCCGACCATTGGAACTTCGAATCCCCATGTTGTAAATAGCTCCAAGGTACGTCCGTAATACCTTCAAAAAGTCACTCAGTGACCAGTTATACATCAAGGGATACCTGTATTGCTAACCTTTGCATATCACTCAAAGTCAGGTGTGGCTGTTGGGCTGGAGAAAGTTGTGCGATCCTACCCAAGAGCATACTAGAACTTCCAGTATTTCCACGGGAGGTCTTCCTTATATCTCTGTAAAGATCAAGTATGAGGAGGGAGAATACAGAAGCTTGTAACAGAATTCTTGCCTATGCTATCCTTCTCTTTTTCATGTTTTGCTGTAGCAGGGAAATTCAAATGAATGCCAAAGTATTGTAACAGCTGTATTGTGCAATTGCCATTGTAAGTTCCTCTTGCCAGGAGGGAATTTTTGTAGCTTGTTTGGTGTCATGGCTAAACTGGAATCCTCTAGGATTGTTGCAGTGGTGGAATTCAAATTTTTTTACTACCGGTTCTGTGGACGTGGCTTGGTGGACGTGGCTTGATGGGCGTGGCAGGGGAAAAATACTGCAAAATCCCCAATCTCTCCTTACTCCTGGGGGAAGGCTATTGCAAAATCTCCATTCCCACCCCATTCTGGGGCCAGCCAGAGGTGGTATTTGCTGGTTCTCCAAACTACTCAAAATTTCTGCTACTGGTTCTTCAGAACCTGTTAGAACCTGCTGAATAGCACTCCTGGATTATTGGTTCCTTGGGAATCAAGGAAGGATTCAGAATTGAAAGCCTATCGAGGTTTGCTCATTCTTTCCCAACTGGGCAGGGTTCTTCACGTGCTCAATATCATTTTAAGAAGTAGAGGTTTTCAGTAAACGAAAGGAAATAAATCACAATGATCTATAAAATGAAGAGGACTATTAAAGAGTTTAAAGAAAGCAGAACAGACCTTCTTAATTACGAGAAACAGAAGAGTCCCTTGGGGTTTGGAGCCACATGAAAAGCCAAGTAGTCAAATAGTTAAGTGGCCCTTAGTGGATCAAAGGGATTTGTTAGAAGAAATTTCTTTAAGAAAAAGAAGACAATATTTTACAGTTGAGTCACTTTTGTAAGTCTGTTTTACAGAGATTTAGGTTTATATATTTTTTGTTTTTACAAAAAATAATTTTTGTTGTCTCCTGGAGCTGGAGAAATTGGTTTCTCAAGTTCACAGAACTGGACAAAGCTGAAACAAACAGTTCCAAATTGCTCTCTTTTTGATTTCCGAGTACGCCCTTCTTGCTCAATAGAATTGACCTTCAGATGATTAAATCATTTTTATATTGACTGATTAGAAAAAGCCAGATGAGTCTAGTTTGACAGCATCTCTGGGCTACAAATAATACAAACAAACCAAAAAACCCCCACACAAAATATCTCTCTTGTGCTGCAGTTTTTATTAGAACGCTTCCAAAAATGTTTGCAGCTGGTTTCTTATGTAAACAATAGTAGATTTAAAACTTGAAAAGTTATTTCCTGCAGTAAATATTTCAAGGATGCCAGACTAAATGGGACAGCAATTTAGTCTTATGTGTCAAAGTCTTTCAGTCTCTGTTATGTTCAGCCATTTCCCTAGGAACAACTTTAGCAAAGTTCAAGGGAGTAAAATTTGCAGTTTTGTCATTTATATTGAACAGTGTAGGAATGATCCCATGGGAAAAAGGGTAACCTCTTCTCTCTATTTATCCCTGTAATGCTGAGTGCTCAGCACTGGTAGGATGTTCACATGTCAATAATTTTGTTTTTCCTCTGCAAGCAGACAGTAAGTTTGACTCCTGTATCCTTTGGGTCAGTGGTGAAATCCATTTTTTTTTACTACTGGTTTTGTGGGCATAGCTTGGTGGGCGTGGTAGGGGAAGGATACTGCAAAAACTCCATTCTCACCCCACTCCAGGGGAAGGATGCTGCAAAATCCCCATTCCCTCCCCACCCCTGGGAGAAGGATATTGCAAAATCTCCATTCCCACCCCACTCTGAGGCCAACCAGAGGTGGTGTTTGCCAGTTCTCAGAACGACTCAAAATTTCCACTACCAGTTCTCCAGAACCTGTCAGAACCTGCTTAATTTCACCTCTGCTTTGGGTCTGCTTTTGATTTAGCCTTTTTTCTGAACACCAGAAATTTAAAATATAGGGTTGACACTGGATATCTCAGAAGACAATAAGTACAATTTTTTTTTAAGGTTTGATGTCATTTTCTCTTCCGTTTTTAATTTAACTACGGATTTAATATAACTACGGATAAATAATTCAAAAGGGTTTTTGTAATACTTATTGCACAGATTGAGATTTTTTTACATCTGAATTTTCTAAGCCTCTTGAATTTATAGCATCAGGGCAAGTGAAGAGTATAGATAAGATCAATTTGCTTATAAGCCTGTGCTTTTTTCTCTGGACAGTTGGTTTCTTTCAGAAAACAAAACTTAAATAAAGACATACAGATGTTTTTTAAAAAATTAAAATTTAATACACTTTTAAATGTAATTTAATTCAAATTAATTCAATAGAGTTAAACATGATTTTGCCCCATAACTTTTATTTTTTTTTTTCTTCTGTTACATAAAAATGGTGCTCTGAGATGATTTATTTAAGGGTTTTTGGAAATGCATTAAAAAATAAACCTTGGGACTGATGTCTGTATTATGATAACTATTGTAAACACTGATGCCCAGAGCAGGGGTGCTATTCAGCAGGTTCTGACAGGTTCTGGAGAACCGGTAGCAGAAATTTTGAGTAGTTCGGAGAACCAGCAAATACCACCTCTGGCTGGCCCCAGAGTGGGGTGGGAATGGGGATTTTGCAATATTCTTCCCCCAGGAGTCGGGAGGGAATGGGGATTTTGCAGTATCCTTCCCTTGGAATGGGGAGGGAATGGAGATTTTGCAGTATCCTTCCCCTGCCATGCCCACCAAGCCATGCCCATCAAGCCACGCCCACAGAACCAGTAGTAAAAAAAATTTGAATTCCACCACTGGCCCAGAGTCTCCTCTTTTCTCCTTCCTTTTCCTTTTTCGGTTGGCTCATTTTAGTTTTAGGCCTGTGGGCAGGAACTGCCTTATTGCACTGATTGCATGCAAATTGCTCTCTAAGCCTTTTCAAATGGTGGATGGGTTATCAATGTTTTAAATAAATAACTCTTCTGTGGTTGTTGTTGTTGTTGTTGTTGTTGTTTTGCACAAAGTAGGAACGGGATTCCGAGGTTTAATTTTTTATGAGTACCAAAATCAAAACAATCAAAGAGACAGCAACGAGCGTAAAATCCTCAAACCATGTAACTAAATTTCACATTCGCTATTCATATTAGAATAGCAAATTCAGCAAATGTTCGATATTAGCAAATGTTTGGCTCTTGCTTATTGGCTAAGCTTGCTTTAATGACATTTTGGGCTCTTTGTTCATCCCAATCAGACCCGATTTTGATACCAATTGGACAGCAATTAGAGAGCAGATCCAGATGGACTCTATGATCCTAAAGGGGCTAACTCCAAATGACAAGTATCAGTTTGCCATCCGAGCTACAAATTCATACGGGTCGAGTCCGCCAAGCATTGCCAGTGATATAATCAGAATGTTCCGTGAGTAGACAACCTTACTTATATTGCTGAGCGCTGAAATTGTTGTGGCTGGTGAAAGAACTTTCTCTGGTTTCTTGACTATTTAAAAAAAAAAAAAACTTTCCCTGCTCCCTTCATTGACTCAACATCTGAGTTCTGGAAAAGCCAAACTTACGTATAATTCAAGAAAACCCAAGCCCCCTCCTTCTTCTTTCATAACTATAACTTATGTATAGTTACATAACTATATTTCATAGTTAAACATGGCACATGTGGGGAACAATAACTGTTTGCTGGAACATATTAAATATTGCATAGGATCCATCAGAGTAATGATTCTTTAGAAATAAAAGATAAAATAAAAGCAAATTCCCAAATAATTAGAGCTACGCGTTAAGAATCTGCTCTCTTTTGTATCTTGTCATTTATACTAGTTTTTTTTTAAATCCAAAGCTTCTTTTCAATCATTTCTTTATCTTTTTCCTTTTTATTTCCTTTGCTTTTTATTCTGGTATCATTAGACTAGGTCTCATAACATCACAAATTGTTTTGATTATTTCGGTTTCTTGTGCTTAAATTTAACTTTCAAAAGAGAATGTTTATGGAAACCTCCTAAAGATATAATAGTCATTTATAGTTATGGCCAGGAGGTCATAAATCCTTGTTACTGGGTGCACTTTTTTTTTTCTGACATCCTGTTTATCTGTGGATGAAAATATTTTCAGAACTTTCACAACTAAGGGTGAGACAGTTGATGTACTACAGTTGGTAGGCTATTTTCTAAAGCAAGGAAACAATGGTTGATGGTTCCCACAGTACTGATTTGTTACTGAAAAATCAAATGTAACCTTCCTCACCCTTTCCCTGAACCAATCCACTTGAGGGATCAGAGAAGCAGATTTGATTCACAGTGACAGGTGTGTTACGCAAAATAATGGGCAACTAAGAAGTTTAACCTGCCCTAGTGACATTTCTACTGCAATCCTTCTTAAAGAGATTATTAATTCCCATTTATGCCTACGAGAATAGTAACAATCACCTTTGGAAACATGGCTAACAAAGAAGGAGAAACTGTCATTCACCAGTTATTCTGTTTTATTCAGTCTTTAGCATAAGGGGAATGTGAGTGCATAATAATATCTATATTCAATAAAAATGCCCTTAATATTTATAATATGAACATTCAGCCTTGCTTTATCATTCCATCATAATAAATAGCATTTTGCAAATAATAATAGCAATAGCACTTAGTATACTTAATATACCACTTCACAGTGCTTTACAGCCCCCTCTAAGCAGTTAACATAGTCAGCCTATTTCCCCCAACAATCTGGGTCCTCATTTTACCCACCTCGGAAGGATGCAAGGCTGAGTCAACCTTGCGCCTGGTGAGATTTGAACTGCCAAACTACAGCCAGCAATCAGCAGAAGTACTCTGCAGTACTGCACTCTAACCACTGTGCCACCATGGCTCTTAACAGCAATGAAAGTAAAATATTTTGTTGAGCACACTTTCTAGTATATGGGATAAACTTTATTTGGTGACAGATGCTACAGGACATGAGCATAGCAGGGCTGTTACACATATCCAGTGGTTTAGTAAAACTAATTGGTAACACTAATGTTTCCACTCCCAAGGCCAAGTTAGTCACTGGACGCTGAGACCTTCATCCTTAATTATGGCTACGGGCCTATGCAGATGGAGGTGTGCCTTAAAAGTGCTAATATTCTTTGCAGACTGAAGATCTGTATGAAAATAAGTTCCATTGAGCTATGGGATGTCCTTCATGGCACTTTTAAAACATTTGATAATTCAAGAATGAAATACACTTTCCTAGGATTGCTCTGTTAGGCTCATAAAGTATTTGTAATATTGGGAATGCAATATCTATCCATTTTAAAGAATCAGCTTTAAAGAAAAGAGACAGCATTTGAGAGCATTTTAACAAACTGCATCACCGTTTGATTTGGTGGCTGCAGTGCCTCAGAGAGAAAGTCCATACGGAGAGTGGTAAGGACAGCCGAGAAGATTATAGGAAGCTCGCTTCCCGTTATTCAGGATACTGCTTATAAGTGCTATGTGTTTAGAGCTTGAAGTATTGTTAGAGACCCCAAATACCACTTCACAGTCTCTTTCTGTTGCTCCCCTCTGGGAGGAGGTTTCAAAGTCTCTATAGCAGGACTACTAGATTCTGTATTAGCTTTGTTCCTTATGCCATCCGTCTTATAAATTCCCAGGATTCTTTTTTTTTCCCCATGTATTATCAGACTGTGATGTTTTTCTGTGTCATATGTGTGTGTGTGTGTGGGTATATGCATAATGGTTATCTTTTGAGAGCTCAATGCAACAAATTTCATTTTAATGTATGCTGATTAGTGTACATTTAAAGTGACAAAGTTCTACATTCTGTTCTGTTCTGTTCTGTTCTGTTCTGTTCTGTTCTACTCTACTCTACTCTACTCTACTCTACTCTACTCTACTCTACTCTACTCTATTCACCATGGTGGCACAGTGGTTAGAATGCAGTACTGCAGGCTACCTCTGCTGACTGCTGGCTGCCAGCAGTTTGGCAGTTCGAGTCTCACCAACTCAAAGTTGAATCAGCCTTCCATACTTCTGAGGACCCAGATTGTTGGGGGTAATATGCTGACCGCTTAGAGAGGGCTGTAAAGCACTGTGATGTGGTATACAAGTCTAAGTGCTATTGCTATTGCTATTGCTATTGCTATTGCTATTGCTATTGCTATTCTATTCTATTCTATTCTATTCTATTCTATTCTATTCTATTCTCCAAAGAAATTTCTCAAAAGTTTTACTGCATTTACCTTATATGAAAATGACACTATATCAAAAACATACATTTGTGACTATGCCAGTTTTATCTTCTCAGACCCAGAAGTATTAGGGAGTGGAAGCTATGGACATCCATACATGACTGAGTCTGGAAATGGTGATGATGATGGAATTGACATTGATGATTCAGACTATGACATTTATATTGATGAGGTACATCCCTACGTCTCTCTCTGGCATTTTGGTTGCTTAACATTTTCAGTTCAGTATTTAAACAAGAACGCCTAAATAGAGATCAAATACAAGTCTATTGACAAATATACACTCTGAGGCTATATTAAGTATTCGTTTGCATTTGACTCAGTCTGAACATTTTCTTCCTTCTCTGATCCTCTGAAGCCTTTGATTTTTTTCCCTCAAACATATTTGTTTTCGCTGAAACAAACCAAATGAGGGGGAAGAGAGTAATTGCTTCAAAGGGAAGCTGAGCAGAGTTTTCCTTTACGCAACTGAAGCCTGCTTTTTGTATAACTTTTGTTTCATTTATACCAGGAGTGTCAAACTCAATTTCATTGAGGGCTGCATCAGGGCTGTGGTTGACCTCGGAGGGCCGGGCGGACATGACCAACTGGTTGGGCATTGCCAGCTTGACACCACTCATGGGCGTGGCTGACTGGGTGGGTATGGCCAACTGGGAGGTGTGGCCAGCTTGACACCACTCCCCACACTGCTGGCATGTTTCCTCTTTGCACTGGGTATACTGGGCTGAAGCCATGCTGGCTTAATGTTTCCTCTTCACACTGAGTAGACCGGGCCGAAGCAATGCGGGTAGACTGGGCTGAAGCAGCATGGGCTGGCCCCTTACATTTTCCAGGATGGCCCTGTGGGCTGGATCCAACCACATCGTGGGCCGGTTTTGGCCCACGAACGTCGAGTTTGACACCCCTGATTTATACTGACTTTATTTCAATCAAAATTACCTCAAAATTCTCCTCCCCTTTCTAGTAGCTGAAGAAGCTCACCATTAGTAGAGGAAGAAATAAATTATTCTTTTTTTTTCATATTTTTAAAATTGCAGTAGTGCAGTATGTGGCAGCTACAGGCCGCCTCTGTCATTAGGCAGAATGAGGCAGTAAACTCAGGTGATGGATGCTAATGGGGCAGAAACAATATCAAGACTCCGGAGGCAAAAACAGCCTGATTTGGGACACCTTAAGGTAGTGTGTTGCCTTCAGGTGTAGTAGAGGATACTTTTCCATTGGCACTGTTGAGTAGTCAGCTCGGTTGCTAACCTACTTGGGCTCTAGAGGTTTTAAATAATATATTTTTTGGAGTATAAGACGCACCTTTTTCCCCCGAAAAAGAGGGTGAAAATCTGGGTGTGTCTTATACTCCGAATGTAGCCCCACCCAGCTTCTCAAACGGAGGTTTCAGAGGCTGAAAAAAGCATCAGAAACAAAGCTTCAGAAAAGAAGCCCCCAAACAGAACTTCAGAGGCTTTTTTTCTGAAGCTCTGTTTCGGAGGCTTTCAGAGGCAGAAAAAAAAAGCCAAAAAAAAGCAAGGCACAGAGCTCACAACCAAGGAACCTGTTGCTAAAATTTACCTCTGGGAACAGCTGATTGGGGATATTCCAGGAGGCCCATCCACCTGCCAATCAGCTTTTTTCTTATTTTCCTCCTCAAAAACTAAGGTGCATCTTATACTCCGGTGAGTCTTATACGCCAAAAAATACAGTAACCTTTGGATTTAATCCAAAGATTTTTGTTATTTGCATCAAAGACCGTCTTTCTGGGAAATTAGACAGTGGCCATCATTTAAATATAGGTAGTCCTCGATGCATAACAGTTCATTTAGTGACCATTCAAAGTTACAACATCACTGAAAAAAGTGACTTATGACCGTTTTTCACACATACAACCGTTGTATTATCCCCATGGTCACATGATCGAAATTCAGATGCTCAGCAGCTGGCTCACATTTATGACAGTTACAGAGTATCCCAGAGTCATGTGATCCCCTTTTGGGGCCCTTCTGAGAAGCAAAGTCAAGGGGGAAGCCAGATTGACTTAACAAACGTGTGGCTAACTTAACAAATGCAGTGATTCGTTTAACAACGGTGGCAAGAAAAGTCATAAAATGGGGCAAAATTCTCTTAACGAATGTCTTACTTAGCAACAGAAACTTTTGGGCTCAATTGAGGTTGTAAGTTGAGGACTACCCGTATAAAGAAAAGAATGTAAAGAAAAGTGTACCAAGTGTGGGAGTGGGGTTTGTAAGAAAAGGAAAACTATCAGGAAAAAAAAAGTATTTTTAAAAAATTCAAGTTAGCTTTGCATTCCAAATCATTTTCACTCCAAAGCTAGAGACTGCAGATAGCATCCCGATTTCCGCTCTGCCTATTCATTCAGAGAAAATATGAATAGACTCTTATTTTACCATAATATTCCTGAAGGACAGGGCAAACTTCACAGCTATGGGAGGTGATTCATGATAGGATAAAGGGAGATGTGAGAAGTTGTCTTACACTGAGTGGGGGGGAAAAAAAACCCAGTGTTCTCTTGGCACTGTCATTTCAAGATCTCGGACAAAAATATTTCCTATGCTTGTTATAATATGAGATGCTTTGAATAGAGATATTATGGCTGGAGTAAATGGCTTTTTACAGGCATGTGTTTTCCTGAGCTATATCTCTTCAGTCAGATCAATAGATACTTCAAAGTTATTATGCTTTGTAAGAAAGGATACTTCTTCCCTTGCTCCTATTGCTTATGTTCCTTGGGAATAAAAAAAAAACTGCAATAAATTTTAGCTTTTTAAAATCACAATCAGTAGACCACACTGAAGTGTTATCCATCACTTCTTTTAACTGACAGAAATATGTAGCCCAAGTTGCTGAATCCTATTTTGTCACAATAATTAGACTGGTAAAGTGATACTGTCCTTAAACTTTAATGCAGAACAAGTAAGGAAAGCAGATCTCACGGGTGTATGAAACCATGTGAAATAATGGAAAACATACTCGCTGGGGACAAAACCAGCAATGCATACTTGGTAGAACTCTGATCTCTTTCCCATCTTTAACACAGGCCTAATGCTCTCTCTCAAAAGCCCTGTATTTTTAAAAAGGACATTAAAATGTTATTTCAAAAATAAATAAATGCTAAACTGGTGTATATGAAGTGTGTCTTCTTCATAAGCTTTTGAGAAAACATTGATCAGCCATTACATGGTCAGAGATGTGTCAGGGTTCCAAGTAATACACCCATAGCAAATAGAACTCTGAGGTAAGCAGGTTCCTCAAAGAACAGGTTTTTTGGACATATCATACTGGCACAGACTGGTGAAAACCGACTCTAAAGATTTCCGCGGTTTTCACCTAATTAAAAGTTAAGCTTTTTCCCCCTTTCCCAAACAATCAGTCACATGTTCCAGTCAAGGTGCTGTCCTGTTGCTCGGAAATTTCACTCCTCCTCTTTTTAGTCACCTGTGGGAATGTCCTTGGTTCTCAGGGGGAAACTATTTTGTTTTGGCTATAAAACCCCAGCTATCTCTGTTCCCCCCTCCCTGACTGAGGCCATCTTGGAGACTTCAGTGTTGCCAATACATCTATGAAAGCCAAGTGTTTTCTCTCTTCTGCAGTCCCGGCCAAGATAGCTATGAGATCCAGTGCCCCAGTGATTGGAGGAGAGGGTGTTTAAACTTTAGAATAAAGGCAATATCATGAGCCATATCATATAAAAATAATTACCAGAATGTATTTCAATTATGGTTAGGAGGATGTGAAGATGAACAGTTAGTCAGTATTCTGGCTCAAATTAATTAAAGCTTTCTTCTCCTTAAGAGATGACACAGTAGGACACTCGTATCGTAAAAGTTTGGCAGGAAATCATTCTACTGCTATCATATCAGTTTGAGTAATTATTGCATATCATTATACTATCCATGATTAACATTTAGCTGCAAGAACTGCAGTATCGAGCTTTGGCCTTACTAAACACGTTTTTTAATAAATTTTTCATTAGCTCAAACCACTTCCTACCATCAAAGGAGACAATACAAATTTTTTGGTTGAAACCAACCTAATACAAGGAACTAATGCAGAACTCCTTTCTGGGCTGCTTTCACCTACTACATATCCTGTCACTTCTATGGCAACAACTACATTCCTACCACGCACTACGATCCCTTCCAGCATTACTGCTAAGGCCATCAGGAGGAACAGCGGGACTTCAGTTGTACGACAATCTGATCAGTCCTGCGATGAAACCATCTGCTCCACCAACAGCTTTTGCATCAATGATTATGAGCGGAGTGGCTCTCGTTGCCACTGCAACCTTGGCAAAGGAGGAGAGAGTTGTTCAGAAGGTTGGTTTGCTTGGAAAGCTTTGGTAACTCTCTGTACATTCTGAAGATTTCTTTGTTCAGGACAGATTTCCAGAGCAGCATTTCATATATTTGATTTGACACTTTAGTGCATTTACAAGCATAGAAGAACCATAACTGGAAAAGACACAGCTGGCTTTTGGGCAGATGGTGGGTTTCACAAAAACCTAGAGGGAACTTAATTCATATCTACTATCTAGGTTGAGTAAACAGCATACCTTTTGAGAGGCAATATAACTTTAATGACCAGCTGCTTAGGTCAAAAAACAAGAAATGGCTTTTTTAAATTGTATTCTGATTGTGAGTTTTCTAAGGGCTTCTATTTTATGAATGTTCAAAGTCAGCGTCACAGTTTTGGGGTGTCCCAAGCTTGGCTTTGTTTCTGAATTCCCATAACTTTTGCCAGTACCTTTCCATATGTTATAATTTTGCCATGCACTTTTTTCCCTTTAAAGCAAAGTATTGCATTGAAAGTTTGACATTTGAATGAGGAACGGACTGAAGCTGTTGTTCTTAAAACTACACTTAAAACAAAAAGATGGGGGAAATATGTGATTCTTCAAACTTTTGGGATGAAGGGACCAGTTAGGAAAATTTAAGCAGTTGGCAGTGACAGTTAAAATTTAATGTTAAATGTACCAAGATTATATTGTGATCTAATGTTTAAAATTGATTCTGTTATTTGATGTCCCAAAGGTGTTTTTTCAGGAGGCAACTGGACTTTCTTGTTTTTTCTCTGAAGACGTTTCGCTTCTTATCCAAGAAGCTTCTTCAGCTCTGACAGGACAATGGAGTCTTCTTCTCCAATATAAATATATTGATAATAAATATTTTCAGAGTTTGTTGAAGAAAACACATCCAGAAAGCACACATAGATAACTGATGCAGCAGGATTCATTAAATAAGAAAATTCTTTATATACATAGTAATACATGAAACATATATACAATACCCAGAGCAGTTCTCGGAATCAGAAGCATAATCACAGAAGCACGGTTAACAGAAGGAAGGACAATAATAGGAGCACACAACTTACATTTATACATATCGGTTAACCTAAGCCACGCCCATGCTCCAATCTGTTTCAGCTACCAAACAGCCCTCATTGGCTGGCTTAGTTGTTCTGCCTATACATTGGCTGACCTTGCTACCATGTCCTATTCCAGCCAGTCCCCAATGGCTGACCTATTGCCATGTCTATCCCAGTCATGAACTTGATATTGACTGAAGAAGCTTCTTCTCCAAGAAGCTTCTTGGAGAAGCGAAACATCTTCAAAGAAAAACAAGAAAGTCCAGTTGCCTCCTGAAAAAGCACCTTTGGGACAACCATGTCCTGGACTACAGTCCATTATTTGATGATTAACTGCTAAGCAATATCTTTGTTATTGACTTTCAGATATCAATATTCAGTATCCTCAATTCTTTGGATATTCCTATGTCTCCTATGAGCCTCTTAAGAATTCCTATCAGACATTCCAAATTACTGTTGAATTTATGGTAAGTGTATGCAGTCTTGAACTTAAAAAGGCTTTGTTAAAACCTATGCAAACCTATGCATTTGAACTAACGGATGAATGAGTCGAAGAAAATCTGTTAATACATTTAGAAAGAAAAGAAAATGTGAGCATCTTGCAGAATACCTCTGTGCCCTTCTGTATGAGAGCAACTTAAAATAGTGTATTTGATATGCAGAATGTGCCAAAGTTTGAACAGAATCAACAAAAGTTAGTTAAATCAGAACATGGTTTTACAGAGAAATTGAAAAGCTCATTTGAGTTTCCCACTTGGCACTATATATCACTGGCCCTTTTAACACTGGAATGGAAATTGGTCAAAAACCATTAGATACAATAAAAAAATAAAGATAGCAGTCAAGATGATATGACTGAAACTTCATCTGTTTTTGTGTCACACCTTTAAAAATGGGTAGAGCTTCTGAAAATACCTTGGTCGGGCTGACTGTCCTGACCATAAAAAGTAGTGCCAACCATGTTGAAGACCGTAATCTTCTGCCTCCAATAGCCGCCTCCTTTTCAGGGCAATCCAGTCCTTCACCCATATCAAAATGGCTGCCTGATGGTAAAGCTCCCAATTTGGGAGTCCAAATCCCCCTCTAATTTTAGGTTCCTGCATCATCCTGAGATTAATCCTTGATTTTTTTACTTTGCCAAATAAATTTAGAAATAACTCTGTTCGAGGTGTTGAAGAATTCCCTATCCAAACTTACCAGGGCAGTTTGGAACAAAAACAACTATTTGGGGAGGACGTACATTTTGATGGCAGCAATCCTTCCCATAAGTGATAGCTGTAAATTTTTCCACCTTTCCAAATCTCTAACTGTCTGATTATAAAGGGGAACATAATTATCCTCCTTTACCGATGAACACCTTGCTGTCAGCCAAATTCCCAAATACTTTATTCTATTAGTTATCTGCAACCCCAGGAGTCCCTCCAACTGACTCTCCCAAAATCTCCCAAAATCCCTAAGTACTCTCCCAAAATCCCTAAGTAACTGTAATAGCTTCAGTCCTGATTCTGATGGATCTTCCAATATGAAAACTAGATCATCCGCATATGCCTGAGCTTTCACCTCCTGGTGCCTAACCCTCGTTCCTCTTATTTCCATGTTCCTCCTAACCTCCCTAAGCAATGGTTCTAGTGTTAGCACAAACGGTGCTTATTCTAATCGTCCCTCAGTCATAGGAAGCAGGCAATGGCAGAGACTACTCCTAGTCAAAATCTAACTCAAAAATATACAAAAACTGTCACCTTTGATCTTGGGGTATTTACGGCACTCAAGACTGACAATCCAGTCCATGAGTTCCTCTGGTTCTCTTTTAAAAAACAATCTATACCAGTGACCATCACTCCAATGGATAACAGTTAATTCCACGTTTTGTGCAGATACTTCTGCCCCATTTCTTTTTATGGTTTTAAATCACTACATTTCATTTGAGTCCATAACTCTAAATTCTAAATGATAAAAGTAGAAGAACATTTCTTTGTCTACATTTTTCACATGATGCATAAATTTAGTTATATTATTTTATTTGTTCAGACACCCCTCCACACACACCATGGTACAGTCTCTTTAAAGGGAACCGTCCCCTTTTTCCGATGCCTCTATCTATACCTTTTCCAGCTTTACAATACACAGTGGTACCTTGGTACTTGTTAATTGATTGCAGGAGACGTGATGAGTACCAAAAATGTCAAGTACAGAGGTGACATCCAGCAGGTTCTGACAGGTTCTGGAGAACCGGTAGTGGAAATTTTGAGCAGTTCGGAGAACCAGTAGTGGAAATTTTGAGCAGTTCGGAGAACCAGTAGTGGAAATTTTGAGTAGTTCAGAGAACCGGCAAATACTACCTCTGGCTGGCCCCAGAGTGGGGTGGGAATGGGGATTTTGCAGTATCCTTCCCCTGGAGTGGGGTGGGAATGGAGATTTTGCAGTATCCTTCCCCTGCCACGCCCACAGAACTGGTAGTAAAAAAATTTGGATTTCACCACTGGTCAAGTACCAAACAAATTTTTCCCATCAGGAATAATGTATTAGTCACAAGGCAACCAACACCAGCAAGCTTGTGTGTTGAGTACCAAACAAATGACAAGTACCAAGAACAAAATGTTCATGGCAAAATGCGTTGAGTACCAAATTTGACGAGCTTCAAAGCAGTCCAGTACCAAGGTACCACTGTATTTCTAAATGACTTCTAGATTTTCTTTTTGCATTCCTAGGCAGAAGGAGAGGATGGTTTGCTTCTGTATTGTGGAGAGAATGAGCATGGACGGGGTGATTTCATGTCACTGGCAATCATCAGGCAAAACGTTCAGTTCAGGTAAGTAATAAAGAAAAATAGCTACAGGATCTTTTTACTCTTTCCAGATTGTTCACTTAAAAATAAGTGGAGATAAGCACAAGGTCAGGAGATCAGGAGACCATAACTTACAGTCTTCTTCTTGTCAATCAACTCAGTGGCAGCTTCTTTTCATATATAAAATACTGGAATTATTACTATACTGCTAGCTCTTGTCAGGGAGTTGGGAGTATTCCCTTGCTGCATTGGGCCATCAGCAAGGCAGACTCTGTGAATCTTCAAATCATTTCAGGAAGTTGATAGTTTCTTATTTATTTAATTGACATTCTCTTTTTCATGTCTACAATTAGAGGATACAAAATCCTTTTAAGTTCTTTTGTCAAAGAAAAGAATTAAGAAAGATTTTTTCTTATGCCAACAGTAAAAGAAACATAAAAGGACAGATTAAAATAAGGATTGCTAAAACATTTTTTAAGTGCCAGATTCTGTAGAAGTACTAAGGCTATGAAAATATGGAATTGTTAACACTTAAGAGGTAAGACTAGTTAATATTTTGGTAATATAGTACAGGGTTAAAAATTAAAAATGCTCAAACTCTGCGGATTTTTCGGGATTTTTTTTTTTTTGAGTTTTGGGTATAAGGTCATGAAATCTCAAAATTTGGCAATCTCTTTTTATCTCTTTAAGTATGTGGTAGGTATGGTATGGTAAGTACTGCATTGCTGATTTCTTCAAATGATTATATTTACAGATTTCCTTTTTAATAGAAAAATATCAATACATGTCAAATGAGTAAGCAATGTTTGATGATAGAGAAAGCCATTGTGATGGTCTGCAAACAAAGAACCAAACAAACTGAAATTTAGGCACCCAGGTATCTAAATTTGATTATCTCACATTATCCTATATTGGTCTCAGGTTCAACTGTGGAACTGGAATTGCAACAATGACAAGCAAGGACAAAATTAAACTGGGCGGTTGGCACAGTGTGACTGTATTTAGAGATGGAGTAGATGGATGGCTTAGTTTGGATAACAGTCCACCAGTTCCTGGAAAATCGCAGGTGAGTTACTGGTGATAAAAGGCAATAATATAGTAACAGCACTTAGACTTCACAGTGCTTTACAGCCCTCTGTAAACAGTCATCAGAGTCAGCAAATTGCCCCCAACAATCTGGGTCCTCATTTTACTGACCTAGGATGATATAAGGCTGAGCAACCTTGAGCCAGTGAGGATTGAACCCCTAGCAGTCAGTAGAATCAGCCTGCAATACTGCATTTTAACCTACTGCAATCTATATTTAGCATTCTATATGTAGTTTGTTTTGAAGTAAAAAAACCCAGAATTCTCAAAATCGGGGGCAGTGAACCACTGGATGCAGTACAAGTTTCCTTAACTTCAGTTTGGAGATGCTTTAACTATTCTTTAAGAACATACCTACATGCCACAGTCTTTCTCTCCTCCACTAATGTTGGCTTTCTTGTGTGTCATGTAGAAATAGTATTTTCCATCTTCTCTTGATTACATTCACACATTGTTGTACTTCAACAATGACTGTGCTGGATGACTTCTTTCAGTGGTTTCTCTAAGGGTATTGGTGCTTCAATCCCTGGAGCTCCTGGACTATGATTTCAGTATTTAGAGAGATCCTGATCTCTATCACATAGTGAAAGTCTAGTCTATTTACACATATCTTGGTCTTCCGTTCCATTAGGTAGTAACAAGATATTTCTGAGGCAAACTAAAGATTTCAACAGGTAACTTACACCTGATACTCTAGCTATCTGCTACAACTCATATCCTCCCTCCAGCACCAACCAACGTTAATGAGAAGACGGTAATTGATGGGTGTTTCCACAGTGGCTAGGAATCTTTACACCTTCATTTGCCATGCTGTAAACCAGGGATGTCAGATTCAAGGCCTGGGGGCCAGATCCGGCCCACAAGGTGCTTCGATCTGGCCCGTGGGGCCACCCTGGAAACAGTGAAGGACCAGCCTGCAGTGCCTCTGCCAATGAAAACGGAGCTCGGGAGGGTCATGCTCAGCCCTCCCAACTTCGTTTTCGGCCGTGACAGCCTCCTGCAGCGTTCTGCCAGTGAAAACTGGCAGAAGGCTACAGGCCGTTGCGACAGAAAATGGAGCTCGGGAGCCCATTTTTGCTGGCAGAACAGTCAGGCCACCACAGGCGCCCCCCCCCCCCCCCGACATGAGTGATGCCAAGCTGGCTACATCCACCCTGACCCTCTGAGGTCAAACACAACCCTGATGCGGCCCTCAATAAAATGGAGTTTCACACCCCTGCTGTAAACTATTAGGATAGCTGTTCTTGCTGGCCTTACGAACAAAGCAAAATAGAGACTTGCTATGTAGACAGAGCAAATGCCTGGAGCAAACCACATTAAACCATCTGTCTGAATATCCTACTTCCTCAGAGGGCCAATTATATATTTTGGGAGCCAGAACTTAATTTAAATCGTCACTGGCTTGTACTATCCGTAGTATCGTTTATATCGTCTCTCCTTTTCCTTCCCTTGGCTTTCCAGATGTCACTAGGCAAAAACTCTAGACTAGTGCGTTTGCTGTTGCTTTGTCACTCGGGAACAAAAATATATCTTAAAATATCTCTGAATCAATAGCCAGTGCTTCCCACTCAGGTAAGGAGGAGTGCTTCTGTTAAACTGTAAGTATTTTGAGTAAGGAAAAACCTTACATCAGTACCAGCTTCCAATGTTTAACCAGCTGCCCATGCATTTAGGAGGATAAAAGTGATGATGGAAGTACAAAATCACATTAGATGCAGAGACATCACCCTGCCAACAAAAGTCAAGGCTATGGTTTTCCCAGTTATAATGTATGTCTGTGAAAGTTGGACGATAAGAAAGGCTGAGCACCAAAGGATTGAGGCCTTTCAACTATGGTGCTGGAGAAGACTCCTGCGAGTCCCTTGGACTGCAAGGCGATCAAATCGGTCAGTCCTAGAGGAGATTGACCCTGACTGCTCTTTAGAAGGCCAGATCCTGAAGATGAAACTCAAATACTTTGGCCACCTAATGAGAAGGAAGGACTCACTGGAGAAGAGCCTAATGCTGGGAACAATTGAGGGCAAAAGAAGAAGGGACGACAGAGAATGAGATGGCTGGATGGACTCCAGAGGACGGTAGAGGACAGGAAGGCCTGGAGGAACGTTGTCCATGGGATCGTGATGGGTTAGACACAACTTCGCAACTAACAACAACAAGAGTGACTTTACATCAGAATACATCAGTTTTCTTTTTTGGTGTATCAATATATCCAATGTAATATTGCAGTGAAGGAAAGGAACAGTGAAGGGACATGATATCTTAAATGGCTATATAAGACAGCTTACAGGAAATGCACAGCTAAAGACAATAACTGAATCAGAGATAAAAGGTCTTTTGCTCTGTTTTTCATGAACTATAGAATGTACATCCAGATTTAAGATGTGTGGATTTCAACTCCCAGAATTGCTGACTGGGGAATTCTGGGAGTTGAAGCTCACACTTCTTAAACCCGCTGAGGTAGGGAAATGTGAATCTAGAGAATGCAGCTTCTTTGGAAAGAAGCAGCTAATCAAAAAAAGGTAAACCGCTCCAAATTCGATTGCAGGAAATACGATTTCAGCAACAGAGTGGTCAACGCCTGGAATGCTCTACCCAATTCCGTTGTTACCGCCTCAAACCCTCACAGTTTCAACCTCAAACTGTCTACTGTGGACCTCACTCCATTCCTAAGAGGTCCGTAAAGGGGGCGTACATAAGGGCACCAGCATGCCTACCGTCCCTGTCTTACTGTCCCCTATTTGTATTTACTTCCTTTGTTTATGTTTATGTTTATGTTCATACCTACACTTGTTATCTTGTACATGTTTGACAAATAAATAAAAAATAGTTTCAGATTAAAAAATATATATTTTCAAAACCTATAGAACGGAGGAATCTCCCTTCTAATTTCTATTGAATCTAACCCTACTAAAGTTATTTCCTCATTTCAGGAGTATTTCTACCAGAAAATCTGAAATATCTCCTGATTGACCATTGATGCCATTGATGGGACTTCTTTTGTCCTTCTTTTGTCTTTTAGAACAAAAACTAGAGAACAGTATTACTGGTCAGAGGAGGAACTCTGCACAAAAATGTGCAGTTGTGAACAGTAATCCAACAGTGATGAAAAATTGTAAAATAGATTTGTTTTTTTTTAAAAAAACCAATTAAGAAGAATCTTGGATTCCTATGGCTGGAGTAAGACTTAATTCAGAGCAATTTCATCATAGAGTATTACCTACATTTAACTAGTTATGGAGTTGCCTGAGACATGATGGTCTGAATCCCCATTTTGGTTAAGTTAAATTGTTCGGTGAGGAACTGACTAGGAATACTATGTGCCCCATTAACATCTGTGGAGGAAAAGCAAGACAGAAATGTAATAGTTTGCTTAATTTCTCATCACTGTTTCCTCTCTGTCTGCCTTCTGCTTCTAGGGTCAATATAGCAAAATTACTTTTCGGACTCCCTTCTACCTTGGCGGTGCTCCCACAGCTTATTGGCTTGTGAAGTCAGTAGGAATCAATCATGGCTTCCAAGGGTGTGTTCAGTCACTCACTATTAATGGAAAGCCCATTGACATGAGGCCCTGGCCTCTGGGAAAAAGCCTTAGTGGGGCAGATGTTGGTAAGTTCAATGTAGTTACCATTAACTCATTTATCTCATACATAAATCCCAATTTACCCAATCTAATAATGATATTGCATTGACCTTGTTCTATGATATAGGGTTTGCTTTAATTTATTTATTTGTTAGATTTAGGTTCCACTATTCCTCCAGCAGTAATAAGTTGTGTTTGTGTGTGTGTGTGTATATACATATATATAATCCTTCACTATTTCCCACAACAATCCTGTGAGGTAGCCTGGCCCAAAACGGTGGAGGCCAGGAAGTATTGTTTCCCAGTTGCTGTTCTATCCTTGTGGAATGGACTCTCCAGATAAATTCTGGAACCTAGTAGAGTTTTCTACAGAGTTGCTTGAAGACTTATTGTTCTTAATTTATTTTGCTTTGAATTACTTAGATTGATTTAATTATTATTTTATTTGGACTTTTAATTACTTTCCATTACTTTATGAATATCATAAAATTATAATATAATTTTATATTGTAATTATTTTTCCATTACTTTATGAATATTATAATCACATTTTTGTAACATTGGTTGGTTACTGATTATTTTAATTTAATTTCCTTATATTTACTATAGGTAATTTAGTGATTATTTTGTAAACAACCGTGAGTCTGTACTGATTCATTATTTTACAAGTAGAATGAATAAATATGTCAATCGATATAATATATTGAGCTTCTATAGTTATAGATGGACTAAACTGGATATCCCAGTACTTATTCAACACTTTAGCTACTACGCTACAACTTTTTAAAGTTGCATCCCAACATAATAACATTTAGGGTAGTTTAATAGGACAGGTTAGTGAATCTACTCTAAATGTGACTGAATCTAGATCCAGCCCAGAATAATGACCTTGCAGTAATGAGTTTTCTTAGAAATATAATTCTGTGTTTATTTGTTTAGGTACAAATAGTCCTAGTTTAATGACCATTCATTCAGCAACTATTCAACATCACGGCTGCAATGAATGAATGGTAGTTAAGGTCCTTGAAATTAAGGGTGAAGCAGCATCTTTGCTTTTCTGTCCCCACTACACGTTAGTCTGTGTGCAACTCAACTTGCAGCTAAACCCACCTATCCTCCAATAAAACAGACCGTGTGCATAGACCTGAATTCTTTATTGAAAGAACAGGATATGGTGAACCTGGGAAAAATAGGGATACAAACAATGAGAACCAAATACAAAATAGACATTATTTAGTTACTGCTGAACATAACAATAAATATAAGCAATTTAAATCTTACTAGTGGTGCTCTGTGTGTGGGATGTGGGTTTGTACTTGGATAACCATGTGCCACAGATTAAGATGGAGCCTTCTTTGTGCTTCTACCTTCTCCAAATGCTAAAGGAAATGGGTGTCTGGCTTCCCAGCATGCAATTGTTTTGAGAGTGCAGGCTGATGGGTAATGGGTGGGGTCAGCTTCAAAAATATACTTCGTATTTGTCCCTCCGGCCACTAGATGGAGCTTGAGAGCAACAACAATATAAAAATAGCAACAGCACTTAGACTGATATACTGCTTTCCAGTACTTTACAAAGTCAGCATATTTCTCCCAACAATTTGGGTCCTCATTTTACCCACCTCGGAAGGATGGAAGGCTGAGTCAACCTTGAGCCTGGTGAGATTTGAACTGCCAAATTGCAGGCAGCTGGCAGTCAGCAGAAGTAGCCTGCAGAACTGCACTCTAACCACTGCGCCACAGTGGCTCAGTCATGCCCCAGCATATAAAAGTTATATGCTGGGGCAGGATACTTGCAGTCACATGATCAAAATCCAGGCACTTGGCAGCCTGTCCATGTTTACGATTGCAGGATGCTCTTCAAGTCTCCCAGTCGCCTACAATATCTTTCTCTTCCCTGCCCTTTTGGCCTCCCTGCCCTCCAATGGCCCTGCCACCTCGCCCTCCACCATCCCCGCCAGTCCCATTGCTCTGCAGGTGCATGGCCTTCACAAAGCATCCCCAGGTTGGACATGCCTCACAAGCAGTGAAGGGAAGAAGAGGACAGCACTGTCCACTCATTCAGCAACTATTTGAAGTCACAGCACTGAAGGAGGGGGACTTATGACAAGTCCTCACAGTTTCAGCTGCTCTAGCATCCCCATGTGATTGTGAGTCAGGCCCTTGGCAACCGGCTCACAGTTACAAAATTGCAGCATCCTGCAATCACATGATTACCATTTGCTAAGTACCCTGCTGGCTTCCAAAAGCAAAGTCAATGGGGAGGCTGGCAGGAGGTCACAAATGGTGAACACATGACCACGCAATGCTGGGACCACAAAGATTTCGCCTAACAATAGCAACTGGAGTTGCCGGAACTACCGTCATAAGTGTATGTATGTGGTCACATGACATTGTACCTTACAACTGCCTCACAGTAATGGAGTTCTTAGTTCCAATTACTGTAGCTAAGACTGTCTGTATAAAGTCATATGCTGGCCAGGTTCCTTTGTTCACTTCCATCATGCCCTCCTTCCATGGACTCATCATTGCCGGGGTGGTGGTTGATACCCCCAGACCTATTGTTATGGGGGACTTCAACCTGCCATCCGTCGGTGAGACGTCAGAGGTGGCTCAGGAGTTCATGGCTTTCATGATGGCCATGGACCTGACCCAGTTAGTGCAAGGCCCCACTCACACAGGGGTGAGTGGACTCTGGACTTGATTTTCATCTCTGGTCAGTGGCTGAACGATCTTGGTAGAGGGGACCTAGACATTAAACCCTTGTCATGGACAGATCATTCGCTCCTTCACTTAGACTTTTAAGCCGCTTCCCCCCACCGCAGGGAGACGGAACCGACTAGATGGTTCCGTCCCAGGTGCCTGATGGATCCCGAAAGGTTCCAGATGGAGCTTGGGCCGTTTCCTGAGACTCTGGCACATGACTCGACTGAAGACCTGGTGGCCGCCTGGGATAGTGCGGCTGCAGGGGCTCTGTACCGCGTCGTGCCTTTGCGGCCTCTGACCCGATGCCAACCTCAATTGGCTCTTTGGTTCTCCGAGGAGCTGAGAGAGATGAAGCGTCAGAAAAGACACCTAGAGAGTGTTTGGAGGACTAGTCAATCCGAATCTGACCGGATACAGGTGATGTCTTATATCAAGACCTACCTAGTGGCAATAAAAGCGGCAAAATCTAACTATTTTTCCGCTCTTATCGTATCTGCAGAGAACCGCCCAACCACTCTGTTTAGGGTGACCCACTCCCTCCTTCGGGTGGGTGTGCGGGAAGATCCCTTGCAGGGTCGAGCTGAGGATTTTGTGCAATTCCTGCATGATAAAGTCGCTCAGATTCGGGAAGGCTTGGACTCCGACTGGATGAGTCCAGGGAGGGAGATGGGGGCGAGTCTTGAGAATATTATCTGGGAAGAGTTTGACCCCGTGGCTCCCGAGGACGTAGACAGGATTCTGGGTAGGCTTAGTGCTGCCACATGTTTATTGGACCTGTGTCCCTCCTGGTTGGTACTGGCCTCCAAGGAGGTTACACGAGGCTGGCTCCAGGGGATTATAAATGCTTCTTTGAGTGAGGGTGCCTTTCCCGCTGCCTTGAAAGAGGCGGTGGTGAGGCCCCTCCTCAAGAAGCCATCCCTGGACCCGGCTGTATTAGCAAATTACCGTCCGGTCTCCAACCTTCGTTTTGTGGCGAAGGTTGTCGAGAGTGTGGTGGCACAACAGCTACCCCAGTACCTGGAGGAAGCTGTCTATCTGGACCCATACCAGTCGGGCTTCAGGCAGGGGTACAGCACAGAAACGGCATTGGTCGCGTTGGTTGATGATCTCTGGAGGGCTCGGGACAGGGGTTGCTCCTCTGTCCTGGTCCTATTAGATCTCTCAGCGGCTTTTGATACCATCGACCATGGTATCCTGCTGCAGCGGTTGAGGGGGTTAGGTATTGGAGGCACCGTGTTACAGTGGTTCTCCTACCTCTCCGACCGCTCGCAGTTTGTGTTGGCAGGGGGACAGAGGTCGACCTCGAGGCGCCTCGCTTGGGGGGTGCCGCAGGGGTCGGTCCTCTTGCCCTTTCTGTTCAACATTTATGTGAAGCCGCTGGGTGAGATCATCTGTGGTTTTGGGGTGTGAGTCCACCAGTACGCTGATGACACCCAGCTGTACATCTCCACCCCAAACCACCCCAATGATGCCCTTGATGTGATGTCCCGCTGCCTGGAGGCCGTGCGGGTCTGGATGGGGAGAAATAGGCTCAACCTCAACCGTTCCAAGACTGAGTGGCTGTGGCTCCCGGCGTCCCGGTATAGTCAGCTGGTGCCATCGCTGACTATTGGGGGTGAATCTTTGCCCCCCACAGAGAGGGCCCGCAATCTGGGTGTCCTCCTGGACTCACGGCTGTCTTTAGAAGAGCATATGATGGCCGTAGCCAGGGGGGGCTTTTTATTAGGTTCGTGCGTGTGGTGCATTGGCAAGCAAAGCGTGCGCTCAGCGAACCGGTTGTTACACCAGTTGAATCCCACCACTGGATCCATTCTATGACTGCCTTGGTCCACCTGCCATCAGTTCTTCTTGCTATGTGACCAGCCCATTTCCATTTCAATTATTTTACTCTCTTGATGATATTGTACACTTTTATTTGTTCTTTAGTTCACATGCAGGCCTTTTTATCTTGTCTTGTGATGCCGAGCATGTATCTGCCCATGGCTCTTTGTGCCACTTTGTATTGATTGTGAGGTTAGTGTCCACGTTTCACCAGCATATGTAAGAGCAGGTAGCACACACAGATCCTTCCATGGACTATGTCTTGTAATTGTTCCCTTGAAAGCTCGTAGGGAAGGAACAAACCAGATTTCCATGGAGAGGGAGTGAAAAAATTGTGAGTCCCTCGGGAGAAGGGCGGTATATAAATATAATAAACTAACTAACTAACTAACTGTCAAATGATGATGCCTTATATATGGGATCTAGTTAAAAGTTAAGTCTATTAAATCAGCTCAGACAGGCAGATGAATATAAGAAAAGCTGGGTCCTCAGAAAACCTGGTCCAGAGCCACCGAATGTCCTACAAGTAATAAGCAACCTTGAATCACAGTTACTTGCAAATCTATTTGAACCATTGAACTCAGGTAGAACTCAGGTAGAAAATATAAATGACATCATAGGAAAAATCTAGGATTGTGCAGGTTCCTGTGTTGTATCAGTGGTAGAAGTAGACACAAAGTCAGTTTTCAGGTCTAGTGTAACTTAGATAAGAGGTCATCCTTTTGTTCTTTTTATAACATATATCAAAAGAGGGCAGTAAGTGCGATCGACCACATTTGGAGTTGTTGAACTCTCCCCTGGATAGAAATACCAGGTTATCTGTGGGATATTAAAAAAGCTAATAAATTGGCCTAGAAAGCAGGCACTGAAGAAAATAAGGTCTTGGGGAAGCCTACTGTGCAATTTCACGATAGAGTGAGAAGCTATAGAATACTACAGGATTTGAAACTTAACAAAAAAATTCTCTCTGATCTGCACTGCTTGTTGGCTGCCTTTACCACCATCAAAACCCACCGTGTTAAAATCCTAGTAGTATCTTCATGTAAAATGCAACATTTAAAATAGAAGATGTTTGGTTGGTTGTGGCAATTTGTTGAATTGAGCGTTAAGAATCAAACTGTAACCAGATTAATAACAAGGACAACCCAAATTTTGGAAACTTGACATTTTCAAATCTGTGGTTTTTCTCCCCAGATTTGAAAATACTTCCCACTTCATAGGAAATAGCAATAGCACTTAGACTTATATACCGCTTTACAGTGCTTTACAGCCCTTTCTAAGCAGTTTACAGAGTCAGCATATGGCCCCCAACAATTTTGCTGTTTCCAGGGTGGCCCCGCAGACCAGATCTAAGCACCCCATGGTCCAGATCCGGCCCGCAAGCCTTGAGTTTGACACCCCTGTTCTAAAGCATGCGGCTAACCCCAGTTTATTATTTCTGTGCTTACACCAACAACACTTCAGCAGGAACTGCACAGTGAAGTGTTTGGTATGTGCACTCCCAGAGAGTCCAAGGCAATTTTCAACGCAGATCCATAGGTCTTTCAAAGGAGGATCCTGCTGAATGTTTTGCAGGGCATTGGAAATCTAATAATTCAGCAATGGATGTAAACTGAACTTGAAATGTCTGCATGATTTTTTCCGCAATTAATTTCTTCAACTTCTTCCTCTAAGTATTGTAAAAGATTAGGCTTTCTATGCTAGACATGGTCTCTTGAGTGTTGACATTAAGACACATTATCCTGTATTACTGGATACAGTAATACAGGATACCTCTTTAATGACTAAAGTGGTGACATTTAAATGCTCTTCAGAACTATCTGCGAGAGAGACAAATCTGCCAGCTTCAACAATTGCTGTTATCTCAGCCACTTTCCCTTTAGATAGCAAGATAATGGCGATGCTGATTATAGAAGATGTTCTATGCATTTACTTAATTTATTCAATTTGTAAAGCTACCACCTGCAGGCAACTCTCGGTGACTACTAGCAGGAAAACAACCAGAGAAATAGAAATAATAACAAAAGAAAGTGACAGAAAAGAACACATATAAATACCTACATTGCAGGAATCAAAACATATTCCACACAGATTTACACGTATTGATGCTTATGCAGTACCCTGGTCCATTGCTAGAGGGAAAAGCCAGATCTTCAGGGTTTTCTAAAGGCCATCAGAATCAGTGTCATGCAGGAACTGTTCCACAGGTAGATGCCCTGTTTATTATAGCAGAATCATGTGGCTTTCTCTAATGTTTCTGCTTGTCCCACTAGATCTGCCAGATTGGACATGTTTTTGGTCCCCAGAATGAAGCAGTGTCATCTAATCGGTCTGAGGAAACGTTTTTTTTCTCTCTCATGACACTTTCATTCTGGAACAGCCCATTTCAGAAATATGGATGGACGTGATGATGTTAGCCTTCAGGAAGACCATGAAACCCTGGCTTCCCCTTTGTTACCAGGTCCTGGAACCAGGGTGTTAATAGAGCATTGGCATGACCATGGGCAATATATTGGTACAGATATTTTTATAGGGAACGTGACACATTTTTTCCTTTTATTTGAATAATTATATTTTTAAAAAATCTTAGTTCACCATCCAGAATACTATAGGATGGACGGCCACATGAATTTGATCAATAAGTAAAACAAAACCATGCTCATCCTATCTGATCTTTTGGAGTGCACAGGGATAATTAGAGATAGGAGGTCGGAGCTTTGTAGATTACAACACCACCTTGAAGTGTACCGATAATGATACTGTACTTGGGCAACATGGATTATCTGCCATGCAGTTGGAATATTTAACAAGTTGCATTGTAGCTAATAAGTTGAGATCCTGCTGCTTAGCACCTCTTAGTATAGGTCCTATCAAACATAGAAAAAATAAGAGAACTGAAGTTATATTGCACTTAATCTAGTGATTGGAGTAGGCGTCCAAAAGAACAAGAAAGAAGCTAATGAAGAGTATGAAATCTGGCAAGTGGCATTTATAGAAAAATGCTGCAATTATTACTTCATTGCTATTATTTTGTAGCAAAGCAAACCTCTTGGAGCCTGGAATTCAGTCTCTTAATTGGTTTATGTGTTGCCTAGAAGGCGACATATTTATTTGTCTACTCTGATGTTTGTATTGGAAACAAGAAATTATAATTACGTTGTCATTACATTGAACTCTTGGATTGACACTTGACTTGAATGACACTTGACTTGAATGACACTTGTCCATTCAGTCAACCATGAAGTGGTACCTATGAAATCTAACCTAACTTACTTGAATGATAAGTCACTGTTTTATATTTTTTTCCCTGCTTTAGGTGAATGTAGCAGTGGGATATGTGATGAAGCTTCTTGCATTAATGGTGGTACCTGCATGGCCAGCAAAGCAGATCTATACATCTGCCTTTGCCCACTCGGATTTAAAGGCCGCCACTGTGAAGAAGGTGAGCAGATGTCTAGGTCAGCTAGAAGTAGAGTTGTACTCCAGAATTTCTGCAGGGCACCTGATTCAGGAAAAAAACCATTTTAACTCATACTTTCAGGATATCTGTTACATATCAGTGATCCTGTGGCTTCCACAAATAATATCCTATTGCTGAATTGGATATTGGTTCAAAGGATCCTTAGGACCTTATGATTCTGTATGAAAGTGAAGAAAATACTCTTTTCCCTTTCCTTTTCCATAGCTAGGAGAAAAAATTGTTGATGTTCATGTTCACTATCTGAACTCAGTGATTTGAACCAAGGATCTTGGTTTGAGGAACCTGTTAGAGAAGTACTACAGGTTCAGTAGTGTGTTTAAAATTAGAGTCTTCGTTTTAAATCTTAAATGCTACAATATTTAAAAGTCCAAACTGTTTCTGCCAAAATCTTCTCTTGGCCCTGAAGAAGCAGTAGATGGGTGTGCGGAAGAATGGAAGGCCAAATTCTGTTCTAGCTTATTTCAGATTTGTCAGAAAGACCAATACTATGTTTTAACAACATGTGTGAAGTTCTCTAGTAGTTTCTTTGTTCCTTCTCAATTATTGTAAATTTCATTCATTCCATGAATGAAAACAAATATACATGTCCCAGAATAATGTTGCAGGATCCAATCTGGACCCATCACCAGGGATTTAGTCTTCTGAGCTTTTGGACTCGTTCTGGAACTCATCCTCTCTCACCACATTCTGGTGAGAAAGAGAAGTTCCCTGAGGATGGGCTCCGGCATGAATCTGAAAGCTCCGACTCTGGTCCTGGTGACTGACCCAGATTGGATCCTGCAACTTCATTCCATCTTGTTTCTTTTGGCTCCCAGTTCTTCCTATTGTGGTTAAACAGTGACAAAAGCCATATCAATTATAGGAGGGAAGTCCTTGTTTGATTCATAACCATGAACCAGCGCTGTGCACACTGTCTTCTTCGTTGTACATCATTTTATGGTAAAGGCAATGGATACTTTACGTAAAATAATCTTCTGAAAGATTTGACTAGCTTGATCATGGATTTACACAAGAGCTTTTTCCTATAAAAATGCCACAGACACTTAAACATGTTATCAGTGTAATAATAATTAATAACAACAACATCAATAACAACTTTCTTGTCATTGTATGTATATACATACAATATACACATAGAACGTGTATACAATATGTGTACAGTATACACATAAAACGATATTCACTTAACACCCAAAGACCAAGTCCAACACACATAACAATCCCCAAACACACTCCCACCCACCACAAATTCCCTGCCCCTAAACCACCCAAACATCCACACAACAGACCAGGTAATGCTGTCCAACAACTCACTGATGGTGGCCCTTTCATTCATTGTTGAGTGCAATTATAGCTGTATAATTGTACAGCTGTAGCATAGACTTTTGCAGTAAACCAATGTTACATCAAAATGATAACCTGTGCAGTGATATCATACAGCAAATCGTGTTCATACATATTTGCATCCCAAGCTCTGAGGCACATAGCTAGTATTTCTTCACTCCTTTTCCACCACAGCAAGTGCCCATGTCCTGACAATTGATTAGTAGCTTTCTGTGAATAAATCAAGCTACAAATGGTTCTTGTTTAGTAATCACATTTTGGACGGGTAACTAGGACAGTAAATGAAGAAGTTGCTAAGTGAAACTACCATCTTGCTTAGGATCTTACTTCAGCTTTCCTTTGCTTTACCGACCTGGGAAGGTCATAAATGTGAGGATTAATTGTAAAGCTACCGGTAAAAGTTTGGCACAAAAGTCTTCACTGCAATCGGTTGCTAAACAAGGCAGTCTCTAAGTTTATTGTTTGTTGTTAAACATCTATAATATATTTTACATGATATAATCTCTAGTACTAATTTCTGCAATGAAATATTAATGTTTTTACCATAAATAAAGATATGGAAGTTATATTTATTATTTTTTAATTTTATTTATTAGTCAAACACGTATAAGATAACAGATATAAGCATAAATATGATTATGAATACAGTATAAGGATACGAATAAATGCGGATAGTAGGACAGGGACGGTAGGCACGTAGGTGCGCTTATGCACGCCCCTTACAGACCTCTTAGGAATGGGCTGAGGTCAACAGTAGACAGTCTAAGGTTAAAGTTTTGGGGGTTTGGGGAAGAAACCACAGTCAGGTAGTGCATTCCAGGCATTGACCACTCTGTTGCTGAAGTCGTATTTTCTGCAATCGAGTTTGGAGCGGTTTATCTTGAGTTTGTATCTATTGTGTGCTATTGCATTGTTTTGGTTGAAGCTGAAGTATTCATTGACAAGTAGGACAGTGTAGCAGATAATTTTATGTACTATATAAAATTTTATGTATTATAAAACCAGTTAACAAGGTACTTTCCAGGGCTGTCACCTGAGATTCATCCTAGTTATTTTCAATAATAGAATAAATGTTTAAATAAACATTATAGAAGAAAGGCATATGAGAAAGATCCCAGTATCAGAGTTGCTGTATTGGTACTAGAGAAGAAAATATACTCAGTTTTTGGGATTGAAGCTGAAGTAGTCATTGACAGGTAGGACATTGTAGCAGATAATTTTGTGTATTATGCTTAGGTCAGACCGAAGGTGGCATAGTTCTAATTATCTAATCCCAAAATTTCAAGCCTGGTGGCATAAGGTATTCTGTTGTGAGCAGAGGAGTGGAGTACTCTTCTCGTGAAATACCTCCGGATTCACCCAATTGTATTAATGTCTGTATTAATAATATTATTATTAATTTTAATTAATATTATTAATGAATTAGTAAGTGGCCATTTTAAAGATTAATATGCTTTTGTTTGGGCCTTTCAGTTTTCACTCTCACCATGCCTCAGTTCAATGAGACACTGAAATCTTTTGCTGTCACCCCCTGGCCATTAGAGCCAGTCAGCTATCTTTCTTTCATGGAATTTGAGATCACATTTCGACCAGATGCAGCGAATGGTGTCCTGTTGTACAGTTACGATACAGGCAGTAAAGATTTCCTGTCCATTTGCATTGTGGACAGTTATGTGGAATTCAGGTTTGACTGCGGCTCAGGAACTGCTATTATCAGGTAAACATATTTTTTCTTTAAAAAAAGTATTTGTCCATGGCATTCCTTATTTCAATTCTTTCCCATAAGGATAATCTAAAACAGTAGGAAATTAAAGTGAACAATTTGTAATTTGATGAAATCCAAAAACCAAATGTTTCTAAGGTAAGGTGTATTATACATCAGGTTTTCATAATTTGTTCCCTAAGTGATCAATAGTTTTGTGGCACCCTTAATGTCTTATGGACTGATCCGCAATCTAAATAATTTTCTGTGATCATAGAATTAAACATGGTTAATCAGAAAAGAAAAAGAATCACACTAATTTCAGTGGGATTCACACACAGGAAAATGGTACTGAATGGTAACCTAATTAACGAAAGCAGAAAGCATTCAGCAATTAGGACTTGCACTTTAAGCAGGATATAATGTGCATATTTGTTTTCTTATTACTCAAGGTCTTTATTACGTATTGATCCAGTGTGATGATTACCCTAATATCTATTGATTTACCCAAGATAATTAAACCCTAACTGTTCTCACAAACATGAGGGAAAGGGCATGAGTAGATAATTTGGAAAAAGAGGCAGCAAAGAAATGGTTTGGTTTATTGTTTCCCAGCATTTTAAAAAGGTATTTACACTTGGAGAAATGTTAAGAGCTCATCAGTGATAAAAAAGAAAGCCTGACAGGTATTTAAAATTTAAATTTGTGTATTGTTAGAATTTGACATGACATTTCTGCCTCTTCTATAAAAATTTACTAAATTTAACATGTCTGGGGGGGATTCAATTTACATCTATCTATTATATATTGGCTGTTTTTTCTCTTCACAGATTAGTGACAGTTTATAAGGATTACCTTCATACTTTTCACATTACTCCTGTGGGAAGCCTCACACATCAATTGTGAATAACACTCCTTTCTCAATGCCTCTTTTCATAATTAGAATTGTGCAGTGATTGGATATCCTTAGAGAATACCACATGGGCAACAAGCACTGATACTGATTTAAATAATACAGGTTATTTAAAATATCTGTCACAATCCACCCATTTTAAGAGATCCTTCATAGCAGAACTATTTTACTCTTTCTACGTTTTTTTGCTTTAGTTTTTAACATGCTTAATTTAGTTCAGGGTGGACAAATTTATTTTACTTTCCTCAAGTTAATATTTTTTTCAGGCACCAGTTTATTTCACTTTGTTTCCTGGGGTCCACATAGGCAAACCTTCACCTGTGTAAATCAGTGATGAGGAACAATGGTCCTTTTATGACTTGTGGACTTCAACTCCCGTGGGCTGGGGCCAGGGGTGAATTCTACTTACCTTCTTACCTTTCTTTGGAAGTGCACGCACCACATGTGTCACATGCATGTCACATGTGTGTCACATGCACGCACAGATGGTAAAAAACACATTTTAACCAGGAAGTAACAACACCCAGGCAGGTGGGCGGAACCTTGTGCCGCCATCGCTACTGGTTCTCCGAACTACCTGCCACAATCGCTACCAGATCATCCCGTCCGAACCAGGAGCATTTCACTCCTGGCTGGGGCTTTAATTTCAACATGGCTGGCTCAGGAATTCTGGGAGTTGAAGTTTACAAGTCATAAAAGGGCCATCGTTCCCCAGCCCTGGTGTAAATAAAAAAAATTCTATTTTGCATGCAGTTTTTTTAATGTATGCATTTTTTGAAATCACTTTCCAATATATATCTTTTGCAATTAATGTTTCCAACCTAAGCAATAATCTTAGCAATATCCTCTTAAGATTCCCCTTACGCATTCATAATTAACTAATGCATTTTAAGTTTTTTAAAAAGAAAAATATTCAGTAGATATTTGCATTCTGATGTATACATTCGCTTGGGAACTTCAGGTTTGATCCGGTTTCATATTAAAATTTGAATGAAATCAATTTCATTCCCATGTCTCATGTATATGTTTATTTCATGATTCAGATGAAGTTCTCCAGCTACTCTATTTCTTCTGGAACTTTGACTGATCTCTTGGAGATTGATAGTTGGTTTATTATACTTCTTTTATTAAAATAATTTACTTTATTATTTTACCTGATTATTTAAAATGATTTAAAATATAAATAAAATAATAATAATTATTATTATTATTATTATTATTATTATTATTATTATTATTATTATTAAGAATTGCAGAGCCTCTTAAACTCTAGAAGTCGTGCTAGAAACTAATCATAATAGTATAATATCTGTGCATCTGAAATTTCTATTTTAAAATAAGCAGTTCTCTAGATCCTAAAACTAATCTGAAGCAGTGATGGTTAAGTAATAGCTTTTCTGCTGTACTCTACAATGAAGCAATTTCAGCTTCTCTTTGTTGGAACTTCCAAGCTGCAATCCAATTCTAGCACAAAATTGACCCGTAATTTCAGAAGTTTTTTAACCAATTTATTTTTATTTATTCATTTGCATTTAGAAAACTGCCCATCTCACAAAATTTAGATGGCATACAATACAAAAGCGACCATAAAATAAACATTCTAAAATTAAAAACATCCATGTTTAATATTAACATCTCTTGTTTGTTTTGCATTTGAAGCCTTGGCCTCACCTAGTAGTCTCGTAACTATGAAATTGGCAAATGGTATAAAGTCATTGGATAGTGATGTATATTTCTGGTCTCCAATATATTGACCAAGTCCTAATCATATCCTTGTTGGTGCTTGTAACATCACTTTCGTGAAGCGCAGGTAGTAGAATATTCAGAATGAATTCTAGAAAGGCCTTTTCTTGATCTGAATAGTTGGGCTTGGACAGACTGCATGTAGAGAGCACCAGGAATCAAAAAAGGAAGTTTCGCAGAGTATTATTCACCATTGGATTAAACTTGCCATATTATGCTTCATCCCTCATTAGAACAATCTTTATGGCATTTTGCATAAGACATACATATGCCTTCTTTTAAATCAAGGCATTAAACTGACTATTACAGAAGTGGTGTGGTGGTCTAGAGGTGGAGCTCTCGCCTCACAATCAGGAGGCTGTGAGTTTGATCCTAGGTGGCGGCAGATGTTTCTCTCTCTGGGCACAATGAGAATATATCTGCTGAACAAATCTCCGCATTGGCGTCAGGAAGGGCATCCAGGCAGTAAACACTCTGCTAGCTTTATTCAGTGCCCAGACTCTACCCCATAAGGGATTAACGGGTTGTTAAACAAAGATGATTAAACTGACTATTACAGTACTGTATTGTTTAGGCTTCTCTAAAATGGAATCCTTCAGATATGATATTCTTTATGTCTTAGCTTGAGTCTAATACAGTGGTGGGTTGCTACTGGTTCGCCCCGGGTCGGGCAAACCGGTAGCGGTGGCAGTGGGAGGCTCTGCCCCCCCCGCCCGGATGTCTCTGCACATGTGCAGAAGTGGCACACGCATGCACGCACCCACGAGCAAACCAGTAGCGAACGAAATTAAAACCCACTACTGGTCTAATAGATTTTACTCCCACAGATCTGAAAGATATTAATTTGGGGAAATTCTTTCCTTCTTAATGATCACAGGACTCCAAGTTCTCAACAGCAGTCATTTCTACTGTATGAAATTCTCAAAACTCAAGATACCAAGACCTAAATATGTAATCAACTTATGCAAGTAATGTGTTCTACATGATTAACCTTAGAAAACTGATATCTCACTTTCATTCTGATTCCATTCATTGGATCAAACAACACTGTTTCATTTTGTATTTGTAATAGGAGCGAAGACCCCATCACTTTGAACCAGTGGCATCAGCTCAAAGTGTCGCGCACAGCCAAAAATGGCATTTTACAGGTTGATCAGCAAACTCCAGTAGAAGGAATGGCAGAGGTAAGAAAAGATCTTATCTATATATTCAGAAGTACAGAGATGTATTTAATTTTGAAGTTTGGATCTTTTTTGGATTTCAACTGTTTGCTCTGTAGGTTTTCTAAATTGATACAAAAAATAAAAGGAGCCCTTCAATAGATTTTAATGAAATACTCTGCTGCGGCTAAATAAGGCCAGTGATTTTTTTAAAATAGTTTTTTAAAAATTTCTTAATAGTAATTTTATTACAGTTTAAAATTACAGCAATAAAAACTAATACAACTGAAAAAAATAGAAGAATAAAAAGAACGACTGGAAGGCACAGAAAAGAAAAAAGGGAAAAATAGAGAAATAGAAAACAAAATAAAAGAAAAAAAAGAAAAAATAAATATACAAAGAAATGACTTCCCATCTTAATCCAACAAGCATAAATAATTTTAGTAACTTATCACCTCTTAAAATAGAACAAATGATCTCTTTTTTCCATATCCCATCTCTTACCTATAAATAAATCCATAAAGAATTGTCATTTCAGTCCTGATATCAGCAAAAGTTCATTAAGGGATACCAGTGATAACAACATGTCTCTTTTGACCTTGATCAAATAAACCAACTTTATATTCCTTCCTTTTACTTAGAAGCCAACGATCTAATCTTTAGGCCATTCAAGCAGTGTTGTAGAACTTGATTTCTTTTCATCTTTTCTTTGTCCATTTTCACAAAATTTTCCAAAACTTTAACAAGCCTCTTTTGCAAATCCAGTATAGAAAAATCATCCAAATCATTTCCATGTTTGCTATTTGCATATCCCTTTTAATTATTAAGACATGAGCCAGTTTTTTTTGTATGTCCAGTGTAGCATCTTTTTTCATGTCATTCTTGTAGAAATTCACTTTCAAGTCAGTCCTGATCTTGTCGGAAGAACTCGCTCCTCTACCATAACTTCATTTCAACACACTCTATAGAGGCAAACAATCTTAAAATTAACTGCTGGGTTCATTATTCAAAAAATATCCAATGTTAAAATATTTTACTTTGTAATTTTGTAATTGTAAATCAAGCTTTAATGTTCTTCACCTTTAATTGTAATATTTATTTCCTTCTAGCTCCCTCTAATTTTTATAATCTTATTTTACATTTAAAAAATAATAAAAAAGCAAGCATTTTCCTATGGGAAGGATTCATTATAATTAATACTTGTTTCAAATTTCTCTGGATGCTTAGTCCTTTTGTAACTTTCTAAAATCAAAGTTTTAATCATCTTTTTGCTGTTTATAAAAAGAGAAAGTTCTTCAATTGTAGTCTTTTGCTAAAAAGTGAATTCATCTGGAGCTAAAAAAAAACTGTCAATTCAAAGCTTCCTAACAACTAAAAAGCCATTAACAAGCAATTTCCAAAGTGACTAGAAAAGGAAGTATGCAAATGTAATGTTCTTTGAAAGCGCTCACCATGGTTTGAGCAGTTGGTTATTTGCTCATCTCCCAGAGTTTTACATTAACCAGAGACAGCTATTTTGTGGTTTCCTTATGAGCGGTAGTTGTCTGGAGCACTTAGCGATAGCACTAGCACTTAGACTTATATACTGCTTCATAATGCTTTTACAGCCCTCTCTAAGCAGTTTAGAGTCAGTATATTGCTCCCAACAATCTGGCTCCTCATTTTACCCACCTTGGAAGGATGGAAGGTTGAGTCAACCTTGAGCTGGTGAGATTTGAACTGCCAAATTGCAGCTAGCAGTCAGTTGAAGTAGCTTGCAGTGCTGCCCTCTAACCACTATGCCACCTCGACTCTTTTTCTGGGCAATCTCAAGTCTACTCCTTGTCCAGAGGAATTATCAAAGAGTGGTCTTCATGATGACTCTTCGTTCTATTATTGTCATCGGATCAGCTTTGCATGGAGCCATCTTCAGTCTAAAATTTATTATTTTGTGTGAAGGAAAGCCAGACGTGTCTTCAGTGTCCCATTTCCTTTTTTCCCCCCAAGTTTATTTTTTACAAACATATCAATGCATGAACAGTGTGGAACCTGGGTATCATGGATTCTAATACAAATAAAACTAGCAAAATTAATCATAGTTATTACATTCAATCAACTTATAGATTTCTAATAATAACACACATTTATATTAAGTTACAGTCTATCATTATTCAATTATTCCACATTTTCTCTTGTTATTGCTTTTATTTTATTATATAAAAGTGTATATACTAAATATATACTAAGTGTATATACTCAATAGGGGTGCGGTGACTCAGTGGCTAAGACACTGAGCTTGTCGATCGAAAGGTCGGCAGTTCAGCGGTTCGAATCCCTAGTGCCGCGTAATGGGGTGAACTCCCGTTACTTGTCCCAGCTTCTGCCAACCTAGCATTTTGAAATGCAAGTAGAAAAATAGGGACTACCTTTGGTGAGAAGGTAACAGCGTTCCGTGTGCCTTTGGTGTTTAGTCATGCCAGCCACATGACCATGGAGATGTCTTCAGACAGCACTGGCTCTTCGTCTTTGAAACGGAGATGAGCACCGCCCCCTAGAGTTGGGAACGACTAGCACCATGATGGCAAACCCTCTCTGCGGGCACGCAAGCTGTCGCCCCAGCTTGGCTCTGCTGTGCATGCGTGCACGCCTCCTGCCAGCTAGCTGGTTTTTGGGTCTCTACCGCGCATGCGCGGGGGCCGGGGCGCACGCAGGAGATGAGCGTGCATTGCGTGAGGGCGGGATGTACATGCAGGGGTCTCGCGCGCATGTGTGGGGGCAGGGCACATGCATGGGGTTGCACATGGGAGTCACGGGCGCATGCCTGGAGGGCAGGGCGCACGTGGGGTTCGCGGGTACATGTGCAGGGGGCAGGCGGGCGGGGTCAGGCACGCATTGCATTATGGGTGTGTGTGCACATGCGCGCTTCCAGCACTTGGTGCTGAAAAGGTTCGTCATCACTGGACTAGCACATATATGCGAGGGGAACCTTTACCTTTACGTTTGTATACTAATATTCCCCCTCTCTTATTTCTATCTCTTACCCATCTCCTCCCACTTATGACTATATGACTGTAACCTTGTTGCTGGTATCCTTACGATTTATATTGATATTGTTTCCTGATTGCTTATTTGTACCCTATGACTATCATTAAGTGTTGTACCTTATGATTCTTGATGAACGTATCTTTTCTTTTATGTACACTGAGAGCATATGCACCAAAGACAAATTCCTTGTGTGTCCAATCACACTAGACCAATAAAGAATTCTATTGTATTCTATTTTTATTCTAACTTTTAATCATATCGCCCTTTATTAAAGAACTTTTTCTTTCTATCCTACCTAACTTCTAGTCATGTCACCTATCTAAAAAAAGAAAAAAGAGAGAAAAAGAAAAGCAAATCAGAACAACCACAACAACAGAAAGAGAAATTATCTATCTATTCTGTGTCCCATTATCATTTTGCATTACTTCAGTATCCTAGAAGCAACCACTATCACTCTACAGCTAGAGATATATTTTATTTCTCTTGCATTTATTTTCATGTTTGTTATTTATTGGCAGGGAGCTTTCACACAGATTAAATGTAACCCTGAGATCTTCATAGGTGGAGTACCAAATTATGATGATGTGAAAAAGAACTCTGGCGTTGTGAAACCATTCTCTGGAAGTATTCAGAAGGTATCTGCTTTTCAAAACAATGTATTCACTATTGGCTATTTACATTTCAGGGTTAACATTAGATCATCTGAGTCTGTTTGATTCTGTTACTTTTTACAGGTCTCTTAAGAGGTCCAATCTCACCATGAGTAAGCAGAAATCAGGCTGTACTTTGTACATAGAATTATGTAGAATTCAGAACTGGGAATATACACCTGTTCAGGGTGAAGAGAATGTAGGCATCTGGCCGTGATTTGAGCATCTTCCAGTTTTAATTCATTCTCGATATTGCTCAATCTGCAGCCAGAACCTCGGATAAATCCAAAATCTACTGACAAATATACAGCTGAGAAGATAGGAAGGAGGGCCATAGCTTTTTAAAAATTATTCCCCAGCCTCTGAAAACCAAATTAAATCATCTGGTTTTATTTTACACAGTCTTTCTGAAGCCAAAGGAAAGGAATTTTTTTTTGGTACCTGCTCCAGGATTAGCACAGACTGTCAGTTTGGGGGTGAGAGTCTGCAGAAGCTTTGGTAATACCTTCTTGATGGCAGAAAAGTACCATCATAGAAGCTTATTTGCTGGAAGACCTTTTGGTCCCCCTTTTAGAAACATATTATTGCAGCCTAAAATTTCTCAATCCATCATTTCAGAGTACCAAAGCCAAACTATTGAACAATAGTTTGTTCAGTATAAATGGTGTAGACGGCTGCTGTATTCCCTTTTAAATGCATCCTTCCCTAGAACTGGTGAATTAAATACGTTTTGGGTCAGGAAGATTCTGTTTTGAAATTTCTGTTGAGAAGGTTCTTTTACATCTCCGGTTTGGCTTGCAAGAACTCTTGCAAACTTCTGTCTTGGTCAAACTCTTCTACAGTTCAAGGATCAAATATCTAAATATCTAAGACTGATTCATTATTTTTATTTTTATTTTTTTTTAAAAACTGGAATGAAGTCAAAGCTTTTTGATTACTTAGCCCCAAAGTGCTCATTCGTGTTACATTCTTGTCTCCATTAAGGATAAACAGTGGAATCCTTTGGAAGATTGTTTTTGGGCAGCTTATTAATGAAAGTAAAAAGATGTTAGACTGACCTCTCCAAATACTCTTTTCCTTTTCTAGTTTCAATTGAATAAAAAGGCTTAACATAAAAGATTAACTTGATGGATAATACATTAAGCAATAGAGTAGAAATTTCAAGTAGAAAACTTTAAAGCTTCTTTCTTATCTCTTAAACAAAGATAGTTTTGAATGACCGGACGATAGACACGAAGCAGGATTTCACAGCTGGAGTCAACTTAGGGAACACGGTCCATCCCTGTGTGAATGCCCCCTGTGACAACGGGGGCTCCTGCGTGCCCAAGAAAGATGGGTATGAATGTGATTGCCCTTTGGGTTTTGAAGGGCAAAACTGCCAGAAAGGTAATATAGTGCTATAATCATAGCAATTCCATGTTCTGAGTATGATTTTACTACTCAACTCTTACAGGAAAATGTCAGCCATGCTATTTTCTGCTGTTTAATCATATACAATATGCTTTGTGTTAATGAAAAACAGGGGGCCTCAGAAGAGGCACAGAAGGGTTAATAACCACTGATAGACATTAGGGTCACAAATACATTCCTGTCAAAGCGGCCACATTATGTGAGAAGTTCATTCATTTTTTAATAATAACCTTTATTGTCACTGCACAACAAATGTACAATGAAATTGGTGGAGTTCCCTCAGTGCATCCCCCCCCCGCCAACACAATACAACTAACAGTGCAAAGAGAAAATCCCTAACCCAATGAATCGTATTAACAAAACACCCAGTCCTATTGCACCAGTGTGAACATGTTACTCATTGCGTCGGCCCTGCAAGTCCATCATACTAAGTAGTTATGATGTTATTTCTCATTCAGGAGTCTGATAGCCCACGGATAAAAACTGTTCTTCAGCCCATCTGTGAGGCTGGCTATGCTTCTATATCTCCTTCACGATGGTAGGAGGGTAAAGAAGTGCTGACCAGGGTGTGAGTCGTCCCTGAGGATTTTCCTCAATGACTACAGACCTAATTTTAATTTACTTATTTATTTTTTAAATTTATATAGTTACCCATCTCACAAAACAAGTGATTCCGAACAGCATACAACAAAGCTGAAAACAATAATTCACAAATAGCAACAATTATTATCATTAAAAACATTAAAAATGATAAAACGCAGATAAAAAAGAAATGATAGGCAATGTTGATAATAAAGGGGCCGCTTCACTAGTTCATATTTCCCTGGAGTCTCCAGGCCTCGTGGCTCAACCAGGTCTTGAAGGACCTTTGTAAAGTCAAGGATAAGGTGCCAGGCTGCCTCACGGAATAAGGATATTCCACAAGGCAGGCGCCATAGCCAAGAAGATCCACTGTCTAGGCCCCATCAAATGTACGTAGCTCCCTAGATGATGGAACACGGAGCATGTCCTCTTTGATGGATCTAATGGGACAGGCTGATACAATTGGGAAGAGGTGGTTCCTCAAATAAGCCAATTCCATTCCATTTAGGGATTTAGAGGATCAAAGCTAGCAGTTAATAAATCAATGCAATCTATTGGGTCTTTATCTAACCTAAATCAACTCCTAGATTGATTTACGGGTTGACCAAGACAGAGCATTTATGCATTTAAAAAGGGGAAATATTTCTTGACTACTGGTATCTACCAGGGTTCACTTGAGAGACTTTATATTTCAAATAAATCTCATTGTTTTGGTTTGTACCAAGCTGAAGGCCTTCTCTGCCATCTTTCGCAGTGACAGACAGAACTGAAAAAAAAAAATCAAATAATTTTCTGTATCTATATTTGATTTTGCAGAGATAGATTTGATTCATTAGCTTCGGAAATTGCAGTTGATAATTCTAAAAATAATAAGAATCCAGAACCCCAAAGATCCGTGTTTTTGGTTGTTGCTGACTTTGTTTTGCACATCCCGAAATGTATCATTTTATAGGTTGGAATGCTGCCCAGAACCCGGTTTCTTTTCTGAATTTTGCACACAGACCCACAGTGGCGTGGCGTGCCAATCTTTCTCCAATTTCAGATAAGCCAAATTTGACTCATTACAAATTCCCATGGTTATATATTGTTAGTTTCCTAAACTAATACCACCTCTGAAAATCTGACGAATTTCAGAGCTCAGGTTACTTTGAAGCTTCCCGAGCGAGAATTAAAAAGTTCAGTGCTGCCAGTACATGAGAAGGAAAAACTTCCTCTTGTCTTATTCAGCAGGATTCAGCTCATGCCCTTAAACAAGGGGATTTACAGCCTTGTAACTTTATCCTCCTTTGTGCTAACGGCCTCGGCTGCAAAATGCGGCTTCTAATCCTTTGCTGCTCTTTAGATCTCTTGTAATTTGACAGCTAGAACAAATCCTTTCTTAGTCACACCTCAGAGACCACCAAAGAATTATTTACAAAAGTAAAGGGGAAAAGGAAGTCTGTCCCTTTGGACTCGGGTGAACTGATAGACTTCTTTTTCAAACTGGAGGCCTTGTTAAGTGAGTCCAGTTTTTCCAACAACTAAAATGCAATGTGGGCGTGCTCCAGTAGGTGGCAGCATATTTCTTCGTACTGTAATTATTTGTTCAGCTCTGGAGAAGACTTTTAAAACATTAGAGTTCTCAATGGGACAGTCAGAATGAATGCCCTCAACTATATATTGCAGGTCTACTGGGGATATATACTGTAATTTCTAAACAAATATTCTCAGAAATGTTTTGTACAAGACATATTCCTGTAATGCAGGAATAGGCAAATGTTCATGGACACCAGCTGTTCTTGCAGCTAATGTGCATCGTCTCTCAACCTCAGCTTTTAAGATGTATGGATTTCAACTCCCAGAATTTCCCCAGCCAGCTGTGGGAGTTGAAAGTCCACACATCTTAAAGTTGTGGAGGTTGAGAAACACTTTCTTTAGATGCTTGCTTAGTTTCTCAAACTTGAATGTTTCCCTGGTTTTTAAATGTGCTTCTAATTTTGTAAAGGAAAAGTGGCAAAGATGTAGAACAGAGTCCCAGTCTGCGAGATCATGTTTATGTGTAATCATAACTCTGAGGCGCCTACCTAGACTTTTCTATACTCCAGAATCATATAGAATTAGATTTTTTTATTTCCCTAACAATCAATCAATCAATCAATCAATCAATTGAATGTCTGATTGTTGCTCTATTTGAAAGCAAATCCTCCTATCCAGAAAAAATAGAGGCAGGGAGAGAAAGAGAATAAATATGCTGATGGATGTAATTCCAAGGAGTTGCAGGAAGAAACCCTTAATTTGCCTTCTGAGTAAATCCTTGGCCATACTAGAGCCTTGGTGGCGCAGCAGACTAAAGTGCTGTTAAGTAACACCAGCTGCCTGCAATTACTGCAAGTTCAAATCTCACCAGGCTCAAGGTTGACTCAACCTTCCATCCTTTCGAGGTACGTAAAATGAGGACCCGGATTGTGAGGACAATAAACTGACTTTCTATAAAAAGAACACTGCTTAGGGGGGCCCAAAAGCCCTACTAAGCAGGTATATACAAAAGTATGAAGGCTATTGCTTAATGCATTGTAAGCCTCCCTGAGTCTCCGGAAAAGGGCGGCATATAAATCGAAGCAACCAATCAATCAATAAATAAATACTTACTTTGGGTAGAGAAAATGATGTGTCTTGACTAATGGAAGTGCAAAACCCATTATCCATGTGAAACCAAAGCCAGATTTAAGATGAATTAAATCACAGTAGAAGATTTTAATCCAATAAATAATTGAGTGTTAGCTAGAGACCATTGATCTGATTTAGAGAAAGAATATTCAGGGATCTTGACTGGTCTTCTGGTATGGCATCGTTCATAGGAATGCAGGGCCACCATTCAAATCTGATCATGCTAATTGCAGCAGCAGCCATCAGATCAGGGTTTTACCTTCTTATCGATGACATCTGTGTGTGCGTACAAAGCCACAACTTGCAGTCACATTCAGGAGAAGCGTAATATTTATCTGAGCTGGACTTCCTTTTTCCCCCCTTGCAAAATTCTGGGTTAGAATGTCTCTCACAGTCCGCAAATATGTGAGCCAACCTTCATTAACTGTTGCATGCATAAAACTGCAATAGAATATAGAAGGGGTTTTTTTACTTCTGAAAAATAACATCTGTATGTTTTTCTGCTTTATGCTGTTCCACTGAAGAATGTGGAAATTACTGCTTGAACAGTAAGTAAAATCTCTATGAAATAAATGTTCACTTTTAGCTATGATGGCTCCAAAATGATGAAAGCTTGACTTTGACGCCACAATGCTTTGCCACCTTGTATCTTTTGTATTGTTGTGATGCTGTTTGTATCACAAGGCATTTTTCATTACACAGTTTCCCTTGTCCCCTGGGCCTGCCTATGATTATATGTTTGATTGTGTGTCTATGTGCCTCTTTTGCAAACTTTGCCATATGATTAAAACCACTTTTTATACTATCTGTGGATAGTATGATTCATAATCATTTCCTGGATTACGGGTGTAAAGCCCAGTACATTATTATTATCAGTTGACTCATATCCAGCTACTTGTTCTCTTATTTATGACCAGTAAAAGTGTCCCACATATTAACATAACTATATGTAGACAAATGACTTCATAAAACAGGATAAGGGGTAGTGCCATTTGTGAGTTGCCTTGCACAGCTGATTTAAAACACTAGAAAAAAGTCTTCCCATAAGTGATAGTTGTAAATTTTTCCACCTCTCCAAATCTCTGACTGTCTGATTATAAAGGAGAACATAATTATCCTCCTTTACTGAAGAACAACTTGGTGTCAACCAAATTCCCAAGTATTTTATTTTATTAGTTATCTGCATCCCCAAGGGTCCCTTCAACTGGCATCTCTGCCTCTGAGTCATGTTCTTAACTAATATTTTCATTTTTTTCCACATTAATTAATAATCCTGTTACTCTCCCATAATTCCTGAGTACCTGTAATAGTTTTGGACCTGATTCTGATGGGTCCTCCAGTATGAAAACTAGATCATCCGCATATGCCTGAACTTTCACCTCCTCGTGCCTAAACCTCATTCCTCTTATTTCCATATTCCTCCTAATCTCCCTAAGGAATGGTTCTAGTGTTAGCACAAATAATAGCAGAGAAAGTGGACAGCCCTGCCGTGTACCCCTACCAATCCAAATCTTCTCTGTTTCCTCCCCATTGATTAATACTTTTGCTGTCTGTTCACAGTAGATTGCCTGCACTGCTCCCATGAACTTCTCACCGAAATCCATATATTTCATTTGGGAAATCATGAAGTCCCAGCTCACTCTGTCAAACGCCTTTTGGGCGTCGACAAAAATTAAGGATAACTGTTTATCCAGACAATTTTCATAATACTCTAAAATGTTCATCACCATTCTCATATTATCACATAGCTGTCGGTTGGGCAGGAATCCATTCTGATCTGGGTAGCTGCCGTCAAAATGTACGTCCTCCCCAAATGGTTGTTTTTGTTCCAAACTGCCCCGGTAAGCCTGGATAGGGAATTCTTCAACACCTTGAACAGAGTTATTTCTAAATTTATTTGGCAAGGTAAAAAATCAAGGATTAAGTTTAGGATGATGCAGGAACCTAGACATAGAGGGGGATTTGGACTCCCAAATTGGGAGCTTTACCATCAGGCAGCCATTCTGATATGGGTGAAGGATTGGATCGCCCTGAGAAGGAGGCAGCTATTGGCAGTAGAAGGTCACGGCCTTCAACACAGTTGGCATCACTTTTTATGGCCAGGACAGTCAACCCGACCGAGGTATTTTCGGAATAATTATTTACATAAGACCCTACGAGATACCTGGGAAAGACTTAGAAGAAAGTTGTATCTGAAGATACTATGTTGGATTTCGACCCAGGAGACCCTGGTATACCCGACGTTATATAAAGGAGAGAAGGTCTTGACCTATGAAGATATTTTGGATACTCAGGGCAGACTGAAGACATGGGAACAACTGAAGTCGGAGGGGTGTAATATAGACTGGTGGGCCTACACCCAAATACACTCAAGGTGGAAGAAAGATCAGGAGAGTGAAGGGATATATCATGGGAAACAAGAATTGGATAAAATATTGCTAGGTAATGACAGGAAAGTTTTATCGAAATGCTATTCTTATTTATTATCATTGAATGCGGGTGAGGAAGTCGTCAAAGACTCCATGATTGTCTGGGGGCGAAATATGGGTTATTCATTGGATTTTCAAAAATGGGAAGAGATTTGGCTTAAAAATTTAAAATTAAGTATGGCATCTTCTTATAAAGAGAATATTTATAAGATGGTTTATAGATGGCACCTACCTCCAGCAAGATTAGCTAAAATGTTCCTCGGGACATCTTCACACTGCTGGAAATGTGGGCATAGCAATGGAACCTATTTCCACCAATGGTGGACATGTCCGCTGGCAGCTAAATGTTGGATGAAAATACGACGATGGTTGCTTGAAATTACACACTGTAGAGTGGAACTGAAACCTGAAACCTTTCTGTTGGGGGTTAGACCCGCAAATATTGGATTGACTAAATGGTATCTGATGCTACACATAATCACTGCAGGGAGACTGGCATTTGCACAAGAATGGAAGAATGAGGATTTACCAACGGACTCAAAAATAATTTATAAAATTATGGAATGTGCGGAATCTGACAGACTTACAAAACTGATCAAGGGTAAAAGAGACTCAGATTTTTATAGTAGTTGGAACACGTGGTATGATTAGATCCAGAAATGATGGGAGAGAGATAAAGGATAATGTTGGATTATAATTATAGATGATGGTATAATTATGGTAATCAATAAGTATTGGAAATGTAAATTTGTATATAAGAATATGTAAATAATTTCTATTTTTACTTTCTGATTATTGGTGTATATATACATGGATATTTTGGTGATGTTACACTGTGATAGAAAAACTATTATACATTTGCTTTTCTTTTTTTTTTTTGAATTATAATAAAAACATTTTAAAAAACCACTAGAAAAAATTAAAAAACCAAAATTTTATAAATCAGAAAATGACTAGATTTGAATTAGAGCATTTGGTGCCTTCCAAAAATTTTGCTCTTAAGCCCTCATCTGCTGTAGTCAATATGTTCAAAGGTTTGAAGAACTGTTGCCCAGAATATTTTGAGAGGTCCAGAATATTTAGAGAGGGCCAAATGCACAAGATTAAATGGCCAAACCCTGGTGTGGTTATGTGAACTGTTAGTGATGGTAAACGCAGTGTAGAATCTTATGGAAATCACGGATCAAGCTTGTATTGAGAACTTGAACGATTGCAATGGAAGTCCCAAAGGCGCTTTTTTCAAGAGGCAACTGGACTTTTTGGGTTTTCTTTGAAGACGTTTCACTTCTCATCCAAGAAGCTTCTTTAGCTCTGACTGGATGGTGAGGAATGGAAGGATTTATATTCCTTGAAGACAGCGGATCATTTGTATACTTTTAGAGAGTCGTTGAGGCCACTTGGAGGTTTATCTGTGTCCTCAGGGTCACCTGAGTGGTACAAATGGGTATGGAGGCGTCTTGGCTGCAGGATGTTTTCTGAACTGGCACAGGCTGCTGGGGATGAGTTTGTGTTGTCTGCACTCAAACTGAAGTGCAAATGGTTCCCGTAGTCTGCAGTTTTTCTGGAAATCTGTTCACACTCCCTCACCATTCGAAGGGTATTCATCCCAAAGTGCACCGCTAAATATCTATGGAGATTCTCAGCCATCCAGGTCATTGCAATGAAAGATTTTGAAATCATATAGTTTCTACTTTTCAAGCTTCGTTTAGATCCTCCCAACTCTTACGTTTATTCTTGCAAAAGTATTCAGAATCCAAATCTTGGAATCATATGGATTCCCTGGAAGTAAAGAGGAAGAGAATGCCGCCAGAGGTATGGATATGAAAAAGTTTTATTTAATTAATCTTGATAGCGAGCAGAGTCCAACAAATCCTGGGCAATTCCCAGCTCAGCATCAGAAATTTTCCATCTCTTTCAGATGATTGTTTAAGAGCCGAGGGGCTTGTTTCATTTTTGTCATTACTGTGTACTTTCCATCCTGGCTTGGTTCTGCCAGATAAAGATCACCCATCACAATCCTGAAATTAATATTGGAGGATCAACTGCACGCGATTGAGATGACCCAGTAATGACTAGTCTGGTGCTTCTTGAAATGTTCTACACAATGTTTAAAGTGCTCTAAGCAATGTTGCTCCTTGGTAAAACTGCAGCTGTGCCTGTTGTGGTCCGCCAGCAGCCTGAGGAGCTGGCAGCGGAGTCAGACAGTGAGGAGGCTGGGGAGGAACATGGGCCAGTCCTGGAGTCTGGGGAAGGCCCGGACAAGGGCTCTGCGTCAGAGGCAGAGATGGGGCCAGGGCCATCTGGGAGTGATGCGCAGACTCAGGAGCCTCCAGAGTCAGACAGCAGAGAGGCAGAGGAACAGGAGGAGCCTGTTCCTAGTGCGTGCATGCGCAGAGCTGCCAGAAGGCAAGAACAGCCAAAACAAAAGGGACGACTCAGGATTAAGGCCTGGAGATGATTGGCCCTTCCCATAAGGCTTAAAAGAGAAGCATAGGCACGTGGGCCCTTTGCAGGAAAGCAACATTGCTTTCTGTTCCCAGTCGGCATCTCTGTTTGATTCTGGATTCTGTGTGGCTTTGCCAAATAGGTCTTTGGCAGAGTGTCAAGGGAGATAAAGGTTGGTGATTATCCCAAAGGACTTCTCCCAAAGGACTTTTTGCAACTAATTGGGACTCAGCTGTGAATGAATGTAATTCACAGCTGTTGCAATAAAAGAAGTTTTTGGGACTACTTGTGTTTTTTAATGACTCAGGAAGCCTAGGTCACAACAGTGCCCAGAAGTTTGAAGGAAAGGTTTTGAAGAGCTTCAATGTGAAGGGCAAGAGGGAGCTTTCACTGCTACTGGGATGTACAGAGTTGAGGAAGGCTGGGGAAAGAAAAAAAAAACAGGCTTAGCTTTGCCCTGGCCTGGGAAGAAATGAAGCACTTCTAATAGGCCTTTGTCTGAAATAGACAAACGGGAGAACTGATCATTTAAGTCACGGGTGTCAAACTTGCAATGTCACGTTGCCATCACATGATGTGTCGTGATGTTTTTCCCATTCGCGGAGCTGGGTTGGACATGGTCTGCGTGTGATGCATCCGGCCCACAGGTTGCCAGTTTGACACCCCTGAATTTTAAGTGGATGAAATGTTATTTTCTGTAGAATATTAGAATTATTTATAAAAAAAATAAAATAGAGGATGAGATCTGGCATTACAGGAGCAACATATATGGCATCAAAATTATTCTTGCTTCCTTCTACAAGGAGCTTCCACTTCCACTTTTTTTAGACGCAGTAGTCCCTAACATAATGTATTTGGGGTAACAACACAACAGTACAACTATCAAAAATAAATCTGAAACATGCAGCATATGAAGCAGATGCAGATCCTCCTTCCTTCCTTCCCTATTATATCCTTCCTTCAGCTGAAAATCAGACAATTCTGTGTTTATTTGCACAGGTGATAATGTCTTACCCTGTTTTCCCCAAAATAAGACATCCCCTGATAATAAGCCCAATCGGGCTTTTGAGCACATGGCAATAAGGCCAAGCGCTTATTTCAGGGTTCAAAAAAATATAAGACAGGGTCTTATTTTCAGGGAAACACGGTACTTTCCATATAATGGTGTGATGGACAGCAAAGAAACAAGGATTCTTCTTAATTCATATTTTATCACTTACTGTTATTGAAATAAGATCCTTCTCTAGGTTTGACCTGTAGGATTAAGAAGTTTATCATGTCACTATGAAGGTGAAACTTTCAATCACAGTTCGTCAAAAATTATTGACTGAGAATCTTCTGAAAAATACATGTTTTTTAATGTTTCCTTATGCTTGTTCATACAAATCATTGAATGTATAAAACTAGAATTTTGATATCACGTTTCCCTTAATATTTTAGCTGTGATGGAAGCCATTGAAATTCCACAGTTCATCGGTCGCAGCTATCTTACATATGACAATCCAGACATTCTTAAAAGGTAAATTTGTGCAGTCAATGCCCAAGTTTTGCTTGTAGTTCTGTCATCCAGAAATCTTCTTGGATGTGTGAGTGGTTATGGTTTTATGCAGGTACATGGCAAATATTAAAAGCCTAAGAACTGTCTTTCCAGATTTAGATTAAAACCTGTATTTTAAAACAGTCAACAGATATCATATAGTGTTATGCATTGCCCTTCGTGTGTTTTTACCTGGCTGCCACAGGCCATGCTGGCAAGAAAAGGTGGGAGTTGAAGTCCAAATTATATAAAGGACCAGGATCTTATCCCTGCTAAGTAGGAAAATATGGTAGAAAGGGAGACATAGAAAGCTTCAGTGAGAGCCAAAACCTAACTTAGATTTCTTTAAACTGATGCCCTCTAGTTATGTTCTTGTCGATGAAAGAACTATTTTTGATATGGATATCAAAAATAGAGTGTTTACTCACAGTGGGTTTACTCATATGTACAAAGTAAACAAAATGTAATGCTTTTTTTCAAACCAGCTGTATTTTTTAAAAAATGTTATTTTACAAAACAACTAGTTATTTGTTTTTCCCCAAAGCCACTTTGAGGCAGTGGTGAGATTCAGCCGGTTTGGGCCAGTTTGGGCAAACCGGTAGTTAAATTGCTAGCTGGCCCTGCCCTTTCCCGCCCTGCCCTTTCCAGGAGTCCCCACGTGCCCCATTTTGGCTTCCAGGTAAGTGCAGGGAGGCCTCCTAGGCCCAAAATGGGGCACGGGGGGCGTCCCCCCCCCCCCCGCAGCCCATTTTCGCTCTCAGGAGACTTCAGAGAGGCTTCCTAGGCCCAAAATGGGGCATGGGGGTGCAGCACCCCCTCCCCGCAGCATGTTTCTGCTCCCAGGGGGGTGCAGGAGGTCGAGTGCTGCCTGCCACACACCCCTGGCCACGCCCACCCAGCCAGTCATTAGGGTAGAGAACCATTTGTGAAATTATTTGAATCCCACCACTGCTTTGAGGGTATACTTATCAGATCTTTAGGAGAAACATCTTATCAAATTAATGTTATGTTACCAGAGAGGGGAAGTTATTGCAATCAAGATTATGTCATTTCCCCCACGCCACTGAAATTTCATTTCATGCACCACACAGAGTGTCGGGATCAAGAACAAATGTGTTTATGAGGTTTAAGACTACATTGATGGATGGTCTATTATTATGGAGAGGTGATAGCCCAATGCGATCCAACAGTGACTTCATCTCCCTTGGTCTTCAGGATGGTTGCTTGGTTTTCAGGTAGGCATTCCTTTCGCTTGGAACAGGCATGGGTGTGATATTTATATAATTCCTGCCCTGAGTTGTAAATGAATGTATTTTTTCTGTGTAATTGATTTTCCCATTTCTTGAAATGAATTGAAAGACTCCTGAACTTCTTAATGCTCATTTTTTGCTTAAAAAATGCTAGTCTCACAGAATCAGACAGGATCCAGCATTCAGTGGAAAAATTTGGGGATGATGGCTCATTTCTCAGTCTGATGAAAGAGGAAGTACTAGTTATAATAAGTCCTAGATATCTATTCCCAGTCCCTTCCTGAAAGGTATAATCCTTTAGAAAGGAAAAATAATATGTGCATGGATGCATGCAAAACTCTGGGTAATAGACATAAACGGGAAAAAAAAATTCCTGTATATGCAAATCTCATGTAGCAGAAAATACGAAAAGGACAAAAAAGGTTGATGAATATGAGATATACCTAGTTAATTTTATATGTTATTTAATTCATTTCCCGTCTCAGTCATGCACCAAAATATTATTATGTTAATATGACCATCTAATTGTAGAGTAATATTTTTCAACATTGATCTCTTTAAGTTGTGTGGATTTTAACTCACAGAATTGCCCAGCCAGTTGACTGGGGAATTCTAGGTAGTTGAAGTCCACACAAGTTAAAGCAGACAAGGTTGAGTAAAACTATTGTAGAGAGAATCATATTGCAAAGCACCCTTTGTTAGGAATAGTATCATTATTATTTTGAAAATAATCATGTTGTTTCCTATCCAAGTGTAGCCTCTTTGGTGATTCCTCTGCCTTGGGTCTACCCAACTAGTTCAAACAGATGTTTAGAAGTCAAGGCCATAGTATTACAATATGTTGTCTCCCTAACACAGGGGTGTCAAACTCGCGGCCTATGAGCCGGATGCATCATGTACTGTTCACTCCCACCCCTATTTTAGCGAAGGGGAAAATAGTTGCGATACATCACATGTGTCATCACGAGTTTGACATCCCTGCCCTAACAGGTCTCCTCCACCTTGATTTTGGGAGTTCTGTTGCCTGGTTAATATTGCTTCCAAAGGAACTATAATTAAGTAAAAGTGTTTCAGTCATGAAAAGGAGGGAGGCGAAAATGAGTTACAAGAACTTTCTCTGCCAATCTCTTTCTACACAATCCTATGAATATGTGTTAGGCAATGCCATGGGATTTATGTAATAGTGCAGTCTTAATCTCAAAAGCATGCTTATCCTGGATCTATGTCAGCTATAATTCATATTTTGTCATTTTTCTTTCTTTCCTTTCCTTTGTTATTTATTTCACTGCTTTTGTTTTTATAATTGTTATAGTTTTACCCAGAGGTGGGTTTCACATATTGTTACCACCGGTTCGCCCCGTACGCACATGCTCGCTTTGTGCACGCACCTTTGCACACGCGTGCGCCTTCCGCATATGCACCCAGCCTCAAAAATGTGCCTAAATAGGACTGCATAGCAGGTGGGCCTGCCCACCCGCTATCTCTGACACCAGTTCTCCTGAACTGTCTGAATATCACCTCTGGTTTTACCGTTCTTAACACTTTTAATATGCTTGTAATCTCCCTGAAGATTCACAGCTATGAGAACAGAATAAAGAAAAATAAGTGTTATCCAATGATTGTTGTATAGTGAAAAGGACTGAACTTAGCTGTGACAGTATGGTCTCTAGAATCTGTTGACTCTTTCCTTTGTTTTCAGTTACAATCTGGGCAGTGGCATTGCTTATATAACAGTGAATGGCTCTTTCAATGATGGCAGGTGGCATAAAGTTAAGGCAGTTCGGTAAGTTGTGATTCTTGATTCTTGAATAGTTCTGTCCGTCATTAAACATCAATGTGTAAACCCACTTTCAATTTTTCATATAGATGTCATAATGCTATATCATGATGAGGCATCTTTGATTTGCTTCATCATAACATTTGGAATCTGAGATCTCCAGTGTGTGATTGCCAGCATGTGGGGCCAGACAACAACTTTGTTGCAAAAACATAGGTATCGCTTTGTAAGCATGTGGACTTCTCCCTTACTCAAAGGGCTTTCTTCCCCTTCTCATACTCGGCTATCGTCCTATGATTGGCCCATTAGCAGAAGGCATCTGAAACATGTACAACCACTTCTACACATGAATAGAATAGAATAGAATAGAATAGAATAGAATAGAATAGAATAGAATAGAATAGAATAGAATAGAACAGAACAGAACAGAACAGAACAGAACAGAACAGAACAGAATAGAATAGAATAGAATAGAATAGACCCCCTGCTTAGGCAGGAAACCCTACACCACTTCAGACAAATGGTTATCCAACATCTTCTTAAAAACTTACAGTGTTGGACCATTCACAACTTCTGGAGGCAAGTTGTTCCACTGATTAATTGTTCTAACTGTCAGGAAGTTTCTCCTAAGTTGCTTCTCTCCTTGATTGGTTTCTACCCATTGCTTCTTGTCCTGCCCTCAGGTTCTTTGGAGAATAGCTTGACTCCTTCTTCTTTGTGGCAGACCCTGAGATATTGGAACACTGCTATCATGTCTCCCCTGGTCCTTGTTTTTATTAAACTAGACATACCCAGTTTCTGCAACTGTTCTTCATATGTTTTAGCCTCCAGTCCCCTAATCATCTTTGTTGCTCTTCTCTGCACTCTTTCTAGAGTCTTACATAAGGTAAGATAACATTAAGAAAGCTTTTGATTGTGGGAACATACCTTTTTTTTTTTTATCAATTTAAGAGATGGACAATCTGGAAAGATCACGGTCGATGATTATGGTGCCAGAACTGGCAAATCACCAGGAATGATGAGACAGTTGAATATCAATGGTGATTTATTTGTTGGTAAGTCCTGCTAAGTTCTTTTTAAAAATTTTATTTAAGAATTGTGGAAAAGTTTATTTAATATTGCATAATTTTTATATTTTTAATATTCTAATTATATATTTAATATGACATATTTTTTTTAATATTTTATATCCTTAACCATCACTGATAATCTAGGAAATAGCTTTGCGTTGTAGTGAAACAGTACAATCCGAAGACTGAAATTTTTCTTCCTTGACTTAACATCCACCTGAAAAAGAAATGCCTGAAAAGCATAGATAGGATAGGGATATGGATATGGATAGGATAGGAATAGGGATATGTACTTTCTTTATTGTCAGGTACACAGTACTTTTTAAAGTACCTGGATAAGTGCCCCGTGATATCATATTCAAGGTCGACTCAGCCTTCCATCCTTTCTAAGGTGGGTAAAATGAGGACCCGGTTTGTGGGGGCAATAAGCTGACTTTGTATAAATATACAAAAGTATGAAGGCTATTGCTTAACGCATTGTAAGCCACCCTGAGTCTCCGGAGAAGGGCGGCATATAAAAATAAATAAATAAAATAAAATAAAATAAAATAAAATAAAAAATATTACTAGAATGGAAAAGGTTGTTTGGCCCCACTTAAAGGTAGAGGGGTGGGAATCACCCTATTTTTAAAAATTATTATTTTCCAGAGTGCCCTAGGTACCATTTTTTTCTGATTATACTCCCAGCCCCACAACAATAACAACAAGAAGAAGAAGTCTAACAATTAGTCCATTCTCTTTGGAGTCCAATAGTGATATTCTGGCAGCAAGTCATCCTCATGCTTGTTCCCATGTTGTGTTGGCTTGATGGTTGAGACAAGAACGGAAACTACATCCAGTGTTCTGTACGGCTGTGAATATGGGGTGGAATCCAAGAACAACTCCCCACAATCTCCTTTCCGTTTTCCGTATTTTCCCAAGAGCATTGAGGTTTTTCTGGAAAAGGATTTGAATAGATGCTGGAGCTGAAAGAGAGTCAATTCAGGTGGAGTAGTTAAAGGCACTGGACTAAAGCAGAAGAGAGAGTACCTTAGGTACAGAACTAACTGATGACTTTGGGCCAATGAGTCTCTCCCAGCCCTAGGAAGAAGCCAGCAAGAACAAAAACCATTTCCAAAAACGGTTCCAAGTTTCACTCTGAGTTGTATTTTTGCCACATTGTCTTTTTCCTTCCCTGTGTGTGTGTGTGTGTGTGTGTGTGTGTGTGTGTTTGAAACAATGCCTGATCAAACCAAATACGGGGAAAACACTTGCCTTGGAACAAGAACAAGCTGTTCCCTGTAACATTTTATGATGATTTTTTTTATTATTATAACATTCAAAGCAAAACATTCCTATATTGACTACCTTCTATTAGGAGAAAGATTTATGATCTTTCCCCTTTCATTCCCCCCCCCCAAGCCCGCTGAAAAAAGGGAAGCTTGTTTATCCAGAAGCAACTTCTGATCCTTTTCAGAGTTTCCCATCTATCTGGGAGACACTGACGGGATTAAAACGTGCACAGAGACCATTCTTGTTCCCACTGATCTCCATCCTCACTTTTAAGCCCCCAGTGGGGGAAATTGGCAGGAAATCTAGGTCAGAAAAGAGCTACTTTCAAGTTTTCTCTGTTAACAGAATGCATTGTTCTTCATTTGGCTTTTGGCCTTATCATATTACATGGAACTTGCTGTCATTTAAACAAATCTGCTTTGGGAGCCTCTCTGCAGGGGTTTTTAGGGCCAGAAATAGCCATACAGAACTTTATCAAAAAAAAAAAAGTTGTTTTTTTTTTCTCTCTTGCAGGGGGAATGAAAGAAATAGCACTGCATACAAACAGACAGTACATGAGAGGTCTGGTAGGTTGCATCTCGCACTTCACGCTTTCTACAGATTTTCATATTTCACTAGTTGAAGACGCAGCTGATGGGAAGAACATTAACACGTGTGGGAGAAAGTAGTAGACAGAAACCCGTCACCACACGGGAAGATAACGTTGTGTAGCAGCGTCAGCAAAGTGACTGATCTTGCACAGTGAGGACTTCTCCCACGAAACACCTGGAAGAGGGAAGCGGAAGTGAAGTGAAAGCAAAACAAAAGGGACTATTTGCCATTCCTCTTTTCCTTTGGATGTTGCGCTCTTTCAGTCATACCAAATGCTTTATATAGGGACCATCACAATTTTTGCTACTTCAACTACAAGACAAATCTCACCAAATCCTAGCACCGCTGCAAACATCTGGTGTTTTTCTTGACATGCCCGGTGCATAAAACCTACAGCTTTGGCAGATCTATCTATCAGGCATGTCTGGTTCATAGGTGAGTTGCATTTACCAGGGCCAGTTTACCCCCTGACTCCCTGAAGAAATGGCTCAGGTGTGCAGGAGTTTGCAGTATTTATTTTGTTTATTTGATAGTTTTCTATTTTGCCTTTCCTCAAGAGCTCAAGAAGGCACAGCACAGGCCTCCTTCTTCCAATTTCCTCAACTCTATCATTATCTACTCTATCAGTATCAGTATCTACTCTATCAGGGACGCAGTAGCTCAGTGGCTAAGAAGCTGAGCTTGTCGATCGAAAGGTCGAAAGTTCAGCGGTTCGAATCCCTAGTGCCGTGTAACAGGGTGAGCGCCCGTTACTTGACCCAGCTTCTGCCAACCTAGCAGTTCGAGAGCACATAAAAAATGCAAGTAGAAAATTAGGGACCACCTTTGGTGGGAAGGTAACAGCGTTCCGTGCACCTTTGGCATTTAGTCATGCCAGCCACATGACCACAGAGACGTCTTCAGACAGCGCTGGCTCTTCAGCTTTGAAACGGAGATGAGCACCGCCCCCTAGAGTCGGGAACGACTAGCACATATGTGCGAGGGGAACCTTTACCTTTATCTATTAGATAGGTTGGGTTTAATAAGAGTGACAAGCCCAAGGCACTAGTGGGTCTCCAACCATGGAGCGGCGTGAACATCTCTGGTCTTAGCCCAATATTTTCAGCATTACACCATACTGGCCCTAATTATGGCGCCCAGGGCTTCTGAGTGTGGTAGCAACTCCTGCCTCACCTTACTGTGCTTTAGCACAGAGCAAATTTTAAGGTCTCCATTTATGTTTCCCACAGCTGTGCATTTTTTGCTCCTCAGTTCTTCTCCTTTAGAAATAGCATGTGGATTGGCCCATCCATATTAGAGGGTAGAGCAATGCTCATTAAAGTTTAATACTATCAACAACCATAGTTGTATGGTAGCATGAACTCAAAGAGCTGCTCCCCAAATATAGGCCGACTTCTTCGAGTGCGGTGCTAAAGCCAGAACCACCAGCTGAATTGTCACCTACGAAGGGGTGGCAGCGAAGTCCACCAGCAGAGCACATGGAATTTATGTTCAACAGCAAGACCGCTGGGACTGTGCACGAACAGGAAAAAATGTTCTTTGGGTCTATGTGTTCTATTGGCCACAAGGAACCATGGGAAATTGCTTTCTCTCTTATTATGTAGCCCAGGCCCACAAGTTAGATGGGATTGTGCTCCATAGGAGGTGCTATTTGCCATGCAACATTCAGAAAATTTAGACGAGTTGATTTTTAATAACAGTTTTGAAAATATTAAAATTCATTTGGATTTAGAATCTTGTTTTCAGAAAAGTTTTCCTGAATTTTTTTATTTATTTTTGAAGAAAAATGATCTCCTTCTCTTCCTCCTCCTCCTCCTCCTCCTCCTCCTTTCTTTTGTTAAACTAGACTCGTCTTTCCCCTCCCCCCCCCTGTGGTACTTGTATCACTGGCCCACCGAAAGGAAATGTGTTGCTTTTTGATACTGCTTTTATTTGCAAATGAGGAGGCTGCTACTACTTCCTATTTGGATAAATAAAATTAACATTGCAACAACAACAAAAAACAATGGAACTTTCAGAGAGTACGCACCCAGAATCTTTGCAATTTTAAATGCACTCTTAAATTTTAAACAGGACAGAAGATTCTGCACAGAGGGCACATCCACACAAAAGTTTAATAGAACAGCCACAACAATGTTATGCCAGCAGTTTATATTTACTGATGGCATAACATGACAGCTTGCATGTGAAGCACACACGCTGTTGCATTATCAGCTTGCAAAATACAGCACAGCTTTTCATATGCTCAACATTGCCTATTTACCCACATGAAAGTCTCCATAGCCATTCTTAGAAAAATATGTTGTAGCTAACCAGGCAACCTGTCACACATATAACTTTTGGAAATCTTCTGTCTGGCCATGGGCGTCTTTGCTTTCTTTTTCTTACCTCTCATTTCCACAGTCCTGCAATCCTTCTAAATTTATAACAGCAGGAACCCGACTAGTCTCTGCTGCTTCTGTTACTGGCTAGTCTGGAGAAAATAAAATTGAAAAATTGTGTGCTACAAGGAACACACAGCCCTTTCAGAGGGCTCAAGACACTCAGATCAAAGCTTGCTTGAAAAATAAGAAAATTATGTTTCACACTCTGAACGACATTAATTCAACCTACATTGAAACAAAATAATTAGAACAGGTCAGTGGGTTTCAAAGATTGACCATTTCTTAAAAATCCTGATAAAAATCCCTTTTCCTGTATTTCTGTTGCTTTGGCAGATTGCAAGGAACGCTTCTGTTTTGTTCAGTCTCAGAATCTTCTAAACACCTTTTTTTTGTGTGTTTGAAGCAGTGGTGGGTTGCCCCCGGTTTGCACCGGTTCTATAGAACCGGTAGTAAAACCGGAGGGAGGCTCCGCCCACTGACCCCATCGTCATCAAAACACTTCTGTGCATGTGCAGAAGAGCGTGAGTGCGGCCCCACTGCGAATTGGTAGTAAAGGTAAGTAGAACCCACCCCTGGTTTGAAGGTCAAAATATTTGATATGCCCTAAGACCGTAGTTATGAGGTCTTTAAAGAAAAAGAGGCTAAAAAGGACTATAATATTTTCCTTTTAATTTCTTTAAATTAAGTTTCATTATAAAATAAAAACACAAGGGGAAAAAATTAGAAAACTAATGGAAAGAAAAAGTGCAGAGAGAGGGGGGAAAAGTGATGAATTCTGAGTTTTTTCTTTCAATTCATTTAAATACCAAAAAAATATTACAACCTCAACCTTTTGCTTTCCATTTGACAACATTTGAAGCCATTTCTATAATAACAAATACTAAAATCAAAGGTTCATTTTCTTTCAGTTTCAAGCAAAAAATAATAATAATCCAGAATTGTTTTCCAAATAGAAATAAATAAAACTAGATAAATCCTTCTCTTGAATTAAAAGAGCCTCGGTGGTGCAGCGGACTAAGTGCTGTTAAGTGCTAGCACTTAGCTGCCAGCTGCTTGCAATTAGTGCGAGTTCAAATCTCACCAGGCTCAAGGTTGACTCAGCCTTCCATCCTTTCGAGGTAGGTAAATTGAGGGCCCGGATTGTGGGGGCAATAAGCCGCTTAGGGGGGCCCGAAAGCCTTAATAAGCAGGTATATACATAAAAAGTATGCAGGCTATTGCTATACTGCATTGTAAGCCACCCTGAGTCTATGGAAAAGGGCGGCATATAAATTGGACTAATAAATAAATAAATAAATAAAGGACTGAAGCATTTTCAGGTGGAGTTTAGATGGAATTACTGCTCACTCATTCAGTGTCTCTCCTGATTAGGGGACTGGAGGCTAAAACATAAAGAACGGTTGCTGGAATTGGGGATGTCTAGTTTGATGAAAAGAAGGACTAGGGATGAAAACAAAGCTTTTCCTTAGCTCTTTAATCTAACATTCAAAACATCAACTTGTTAGAGGCGATAAGGGAAACCCACAGAGATGTGGAGCGGGTGTCAAAAAATAATCAAGATGTGGGAATGAAACACTGCCATTTTACACGTGAGACAAGTCAAAAGGGTTTGGGGTTTCAGTCGAATGTTGTCGCCACCATACTGATTTTTTGGGACACCCTAAAGAGGAGGAAAGTATATTTTGCAAACATGAGCTTCTTCCAGTCAGATGTTTTGACGTGCGTTGATAACACGTCGTGATAACTTCATGAGTCAGAGTTGATCTCACCCTCTTGCTTTAGGCATAAACTATCCTTTCACGATTTCATCTCCCCCCCCCCCGAATGGGTACATTTGCTGAGCCAAAAATCTTATGAAATATATTATTCTTCATAACTCTGAAAGTTTCATATTTGCTCCTGTAGGCTTTGAAGGGAAACTTTGGTGCTTATTGACTTTTCTCATTCACTTCCTGATCACATTAGTTTTAAGGAGGCATGTGGATGCTTCATATAGTGGTGAGGTGGCCGAGAGGTGGAGCTCTCGCCTCACAATCAGGAGACTGTGAGTTCGATCCTAGGTAGAGTCAGATATTTCTCTCTCTCTGGGCACACTGAGAATATATCCAGGGGTGGGATTATACCAGTTCAGATTGGTTTGGGCAAACCGGTAGCTCCAGTTCGCTGGAGCTACCAGTTCAGCTGGGCCCGGCCGGCCGACCCAGGGCTTTATTTTACCTATGTCTTCTCAGCTGATTAATGCGGATTGCCGCGCCTCAACTGTTTTACTTCCCTAGCACTAACATGGAAGGTGATTTTTCGTTCAATTGCGCATGTGCACAAAGTGCGCAATCATCGAACCAGTTGTTAAACCAGTAGGATCCCACCACTGAATATATCTGCTGACAAAACTCTTCATTGGCAACAGGAAGGGCATCTGGCCATTAAAACACTCTGCTAGCTCCATTCAGTTGCCCAGACTCCATCCTGCAAGGGATTATGGGGTCGTTAGAAGATGATGATGATGATGATGTGGATGCTTCATATGCTGTTCCCATATCCTCTCCAAGTAGTAAGTAGAGTAGTTGGATCTGGTTAAAGTCCAGCTGCTTTCCGATTTGATGGACTTCGCAAAGTTCCTCCCTAGAAGGGAACTCTTTCAGGAACCCAATATCCATCCTCTTCCCAACATCTTCCAACAGACAAACGGAAAGTTGGAATAATTACATTTAAAATAATTGAGGTGTTCAAGTAAAGGCTGCTTTCTTCTACAAAAATGCCCATCCTACAGTACAATTTAAAGAGCTTTCCTCTGTGTTTAAAAACAAGAAGTTATGTACCTTTGAGAAGCTCCATATTACTTCGAATTCCTCCACAAAACTTTGGATAAAAGTTTCATTTTCGATACAGTTAACTATCAGGCCTCTGCTTTTAGTAGGTTTTTTTTTTTTTTTTGTCCTTCAGGGGAAAGAAGAGTATTTTTTTTAACAAGGTTGAGCTCAGTTAACCTTCCTTCAGTTTGCAGTTTCAGATTAAATCTGAATCTAAATTGAGTATTAATTGCATTTGTGTTTTGTCTGTTGAGCTTTTGGTTACATCTAATTTAAGATTGCTCATAGCTAAGGTATTTTCTTGGTGGCCAAATGTTTTTCAGAACTAACTGTTGTTTCATCTGAGACCAAATTAGGTATTTTCCATAAGGATCAGGTCATGCTTCAACCTGATCTAACCTTTATTACAAAGATTAGCTCCCTTTTTCACTGGAAATGTCATTATCCTCATTTTGTTTTAAAATCCCTCATCATAAGGAGAATTGCCATAAAGTCAGTTGAATGATTTTAGGGCATGCTGTTTTAGCTTTAATAGGTTTGCAAAAAAAAATTTGGCAGTCTGAAGGCTTATTCAGATTCAGAGCAGAAAAAGTATTAGGAGCATATAATGGAGACCTATGGAGACTCGGAGGAGGGGGTAAAGGATCATCAGTGAACAGCACATTCAGCTAGCGAGATTGTGACTGGAGCAGTTTTCCAGTGGAGGAGATTTGCAAAGTTCTCCCTTGAGCATCACTGCGCACACATGATGAATATGCATTGGCAGCTTTCTGTCGATGGCTTCTCCAGAAAATGCTACTCTTGACACTGCTTTATCATATCTTGATAGAGAGTGAGGGATAGAGAGTGCCCTCTGGGGCCTCAGTAGAAAATTAATGTTTATTTCTATTCTCTTAACTCATTCAGAAGACATTTAACCAGCCTCTGATTTCCAAAATTGGCACTTTGATGTTGGAGTTCTATAAGGGAGAACTCTGCATGATTGGTTCCCTTCCTTAAACTCAATTCTCATATTCTCTCTCTCCCTCTCCCTCCCTCCCTCCCTCTCTCTCCTTCTCTCTCTTTCTCTCTCTCTCTCTCTCTCTCTCTCTCTTTTTCTCTCTTCCCCTGTGCTTGCAATCAGTCTGGTAGTCTAACAACAGATGCTGTCTTTTCTAGTTCATAAACTTTCCTTGCCTATGTGGGACACAAAAAGCAGATCCCCACGCAACAGTTTCTTCCCATCCACATTTTCAGTACATATGTGTCTTTGTATGCCTGAAATTATGGAAAGATATTCAGAGATCAAGTTGCAAAATCTGCCAAGCTACTTTTCCTGTGCTGCATTTAACAGCCTCTGAGCAGTGATGAGGTAGGGAATAGCTCCTCAAACAGCCATATTTCTTAAAGGCATCCAATTATGCTGCTCTGGCAGTTCATTTGTTCATTCATTCAGTCATTTATTCAGTTTATACATCCACCTATCTCAAAAACATGACTGGGCAGCTAATACACAATTGTGCTTAAAAAGCACAATTAAAAACAATACAGCATTCAGCGG